TCGGAAAAAAAAGTGTCGGAGCCCCCCTGTAGAATCTGATGAGTCATTTGATTTGCATTTATTATTTTCAATTAATAGCGGCGCTATTGCTTGGAGCGTTTTTTGTCAGTCAGCCTGGTATACCAGCCATCGATATTGAGGAGCGATCAGCCAAAACCAGATCAATACACTTTTGGGCAAAAATGATCGATTCCTATTCCTTTTGGTGAGATTAATCCGATAGCGCAATCAGTTTCAACCCTAACTCGTTAAATCCCATTCGAAATCGACCTCAAAGTCGAGCAATTCAAGCAAACCCAGATAAATCCCAAAAATTAAATATCATTGGTCTATTTCGAACAAAAATGGATAATTAAAAAATGAAAATTAATGAATAAATAAAAATAAAAATGCCTGTTAAACATAAAAGATTTGGTATCAAACATATTTATATTGAAATAAACACTTTTTATGTTATAAAATTTGTCAATAACTCAAGTAAAAACAGATAAGTCCATTTTGTAATTTGCAATAATTACCATGTTAATCATCAAAAATATAAACGAAAACAGTATTTACGAGGTCTATAGCATCATATATCAGATACAACATTTGTTCATTCAGTCAAACACAATTATAAACCGAGTTATAAACATTCCAATTCGAATTTTAAAATGAATGCTAATATACATTCATATTCAACTAGACAAACAGACATGTATTCCCTCATTAAAATCAAATCTGAATTTGGCAAGAGATCAATATATTACGATGGATTATCACTTCACAATGAATTGCCAAGAAGACTTAAAAAAAATATCAATACCAAAAAATTCAAGAAAGAACACAAAAAATATTTATTCGTCTGAATTTTGTCATGTCATCCATATTGAGATCATATAACATATCAATTATTTTAATCATTCATTCACTCAACAAGGATCTGCTCAAACTATGAGAATTACTATTCTAGAATAATCATTATACCTATAAATACTATATTTTGAATGTAATGTGATACATTATGGTTTATTTTTTTAATGTTCCCTGTTATAAACATATACGTCAATTGTTTCTTCGGAATAATAAAGATGATGATGATGATGATTTTCTTTGTTAAAGTTACGGACGCCTCATGGACGGTTTTTTGCCATTATCTCAAAACTTTATATAATGGATTTATCTGGATTTGGCTCATTGCTCCTCATTTGTCGCCTCTTAATATTTCGCGAGCAATTTTGAATAATTCTTTATTTAATGTTAAATCAGAAGTTTGTAACTTGGATGGTATAGTCCCCCTAAACCAATTTAAATAAATTGCCCGACTATCCCTCACACTCTTTGTGAAATAATTCCACTGTTTTAATTTTAACTGTCATTCAACCCTTGTCTGAACCGCCTGTTCACAACAAAACACCTTGAACCCCTTTCAATTGGATTTTATTTCCATTAATTTCGTCCTTCTCTTCAAATTCGGGAATTATTCAGCAGGAATAAATGGGTTTTGTTCAGTTTAAATTCTTGTTGGGAAAGAAGGATTTCGTGAAATATACCGTGCTCCTCAGTATACCTTCTATTTCAGGAGATGCAAATCTTCTTTCATGATCCGATGTAAACCAAAATCAGAAGTAATTTGTGGTATGACCGAAGTAGCTCTGACTTTCTTTTTTATATTAGCAGCCAGTATTATTTTGGAAAGGAATATTCTCAGATATGATTATGAACTTAAAAAAATGGATATATACAGGGTGGGTCACGGTCGATGGCACCTTAGACGTTTACGGAGAACGGGACATAAGATCATTCTGAAAATTTGGTTACTCAAGTAATTGCTCTTGATCTATCGATCTAAAATATTTTCAGCTCTGCGGCGTTGCCGCTTCTATCGAAAAGTAGCAACAACTTTGTTATTTTAAATGGAACACCCTGTATTTCATCGCATTTTCAGATTCTCTCTGAAGAGCTGATTTCATCGATGTATCACACTTGGGGTCTAGCGGAAATGATTACAGAGATATAGGGTGTGAAAAATCGACATTTTTCAACTTTAGGAATTTTTTTTGTCGAAACTATTCATTATTGGTCAAAACGGCTCACATGTCCCTATCCCAGCTTTTGATCAACTATCTACTGACATTTAATTGAAACAAATACAGGGTGGTGCAGAATTCAGATTCTTGATCACCCGGTATATGTTCCAATTCAATATCAGTAGATAGTTAATCAAAAGTTGAGATAGGGACATGTAAGCCGTTTTGACCAATAATGAATAGTTTCGACAAAAAAAATTCCTTAAGTTGAAAAATGTCGATTTTTCACACCCTATATCTCTGTAATCATTTCCGCTAGACCCCAAGTGTGATATATCGATGAAATTAGCTCTTCAGAGAGAATCTGAAGATGCAATAAAATACAGGGTGTTCCATTTAAAATAACAAAGTTGTTGCTACTTTTCGATAGAAGCGGCAACGCCGCAGAGATGAAAATATTTTAGATCGATAGATCAAGAGTAATTACTTGAGTAACCAAATTTTCAGAATGATCTTATGTCCCGTTCTCCGTAAACGTCTAAGGTGCCATCTACCGTGACCCACCCTGTATATATAAAGAGATACATTGAGAATTCGCATTCTCCATGTGATGAAAATATCAATTCTTCCTCGGTTTATTCTTATTCAACAGAAAACAACTAGTTTCCTGGCTATATGCCACGACGAATATTGAATTATATCTATTGAACACACACGATAAGAATTTGAAAGCAAAATCTTTTGAAGTAGAGAATTTGCAATTCTTCTTGTGCTGGTCCAAGGATTTTGCAATGTTCCTCATAATTTCAAGAATTGGTAAATATTCGCAGAATTTCTGCTGGTGGGTATTCTTCTATTTGGGAATCTTCTCTGATATTCCCTCGCTGCAGCTCTCGAATTTCCGGCACGGAAACCACAAATGAAAATAATATCAACATATTCAGCGTTGGAAAAATTGATTGGCATCTTGTATGCAAAATAGTTGGAATACCAGTATCTATCAGTTGAACTATCAACAAATGTTACACCAGAAACTCAATACGGACATTCTTGATTATTATGTTTGGGGGCACCAGTTTACGCCACAGAGGTGAATTCAAGGCACAAACTGAGAGAGTGTGTAATGAGATGAAAAATGACAGACACACTGTTCAGAAAGTTACGAGAAGTTTAGTGAGGCGATGTAGAAAATGCATTGAAGTTGCTGGAGGACATTTTGAAAATTGCCATCAATCGAGTTATTGGATCTGTTACCTGTATTAAATTTTTGTACGAATCAATATCTATAGTAGCAAGAAAATCAATTTGCATGGATCAGCTACAAATATGATGAAAATATTCCATTTCGAAGAACCCGTTGATGACTACTATATCATCGTATTTTTGTTTTTGAAGATGTCTCAACGAATTCCAACTTGGGAGGGCGTTGCGAGTTGAAACTGTTTGAAATCTCGAATTCAAGAAATCGCAGTTTTAATTGCTCTTTCAAGTTTTTTTATCAGTTAAATGGATTTTTGTGGTGCTTAGTTTACATATTTATTGTAACTATACCTCTTTGAAACTAAAATATGATCTAATCTTAGCTGCCATTACTAGGTGAAACCTATGTTAAAAAACAGTATATGCAGGTATATAGGAACATTTAGAGTAAGAACGGCTGAAATTCTGCTCATCAATATTTCATTCACTATGAAAATGTTACTTTCTCCAGAAATGGATCTCTTTTTCGGATTCATAATAAAATGACCTTTTCACTAGTTATTTTCATTCACTTTCATGAACCACCTGTCGCTCACGGACATTCTATTGATTGAAATGTTTGTGATCCAATCTAAGAAGCACTTTTCACTCTATAAATACTCGAACTTCATCACTGGCTAATTTGGCAAAACGTGACTTTATGAAGAAAATGGGCATGGAAATCCTCGACATTATTAGCAGACGCTGTTCAATATCAACAGGCTGATAATATTCCATTGTGGAATCATTCTTCAATAACAAATCATCCCCTCCTGACCCTAGGGGGAAGTAGATCGTGAAGCTGTTCGTGATAGGGTAATTGTATATTATGAACTTGGGAGCTATATACAAGGTTTCGATGGGGAGGGGACACCTGATAACCAGTTGATGATATATACATAATAATGATGAATCATATGGTGTTTTGTTGTCATATAACTTGTTAAAGGGGTGGTCACTGGTTGAAACCCTGCTCGAATCTGCGTGTTGTCGGATCAGTGACTAATCCAAACAAAACTACCAAATGATGATAATGAATTTTTTTTCTGATTTTGACATGTAATTTTGTAATTTGACACTTTTCACAATTGACAGAAATTCAGATCCATTTTTTGCTATGAGAATTGCAAGAAAGGATAATGAAATAAACCTATGATGTCGAAACATTATGTACTTTCAGTAAACAGAAAAGTTATATATTTCCAACATAATAGAAACGAACATAACAAGCATTCTCATAAAATAATCATCATGATCCTCATTCTCAATTTGAAAATACTCAGAAATATCACAAGATACAGATACATTGGAATTTGAGTATGGGAACGAATAGTAGAAATAAACAAGAAGAATACAAAGCAACTGCAAAAGTCAAACATAAAAAACAAACTTGTATAATGTATACTTATGATATTGTGTTATACCACGTACAATAAGTCATTGATGTTGTCGTCAATGACTTCTGTGAGTTATTAAAATGTTTATTCAATAGTAACAATCATTGTTAACTCCCATGTAATCAGTTATTTCTGCCAATAAACATTCATTCATTCATATTCATGATTCATCAGCAATCAATCAGCTCTTTTTTTTGTATTACAGGAAAGTGTAATTTGAAATTATATTGTTTCATTCTATTATCTCATTAGGGCACTAAAACGCAGTGCCTTAACGTTTCACATTATATATTGGTAGTAGATAAAATAATACCTAATGACACCGGATGATAATGGCAGTTCTTTTTTGTTTCAGGTGCTGACGCAATTATTGTTTAGAGATATTCAAGAAAAACTACTCCATGTAATTATGATGTGTATAAATGTTCGACAGTGCCAATTTACAGTAGATAAGAAATATAAATATATTAATTATTGTAAAAATAAATATTACTTTAGTCATTGTATTACTTTATTTAGAGTTTATATACAGAGTGTATCTAAATAACACCTAAAAAATTCAAGGGGTGATTCCTTGTGATATTCTAGCAAATAAAGTTCATAAAAATATGTTTCCTAACTTGCTTCGTTTTTGAGATACAAGATGTTGAAGTTGGAAGTATTAATTGTTTTTATTTATAACACCCCTGTATAAGCTTCCATGGTGCCAAAATTCAGTATGGTGGGAGACTGAGAAAGCCCTAAAATTTCAAAATGATTCTAATTTGGGTTACTGAGTTCTCAATGGAGGTCTTGAAAACACACCTACATTAAAATTTGAGGTCAGATCGAATTCTTATTGTTTCCTCAAAAATAAAGCTATATACAGAAATCACACAAAAGATGAAAAAGTTGTTATTTTGATATTTCAATCTAATAAAAATATGGAATTCAGAAAAACCGGTGGCGTACAATGATATTCACCATAAATATCGATAAATTTACCCACTGTGACGCCACTGGAAATATAATGTCGAATCTGAAAGCAACAGAAGAAGCCTCATATTACTATTAACAGAAATGTTTTATTGAAATCATTGATGGAGAGACAACTGAAGCTCCATATTGATATTAACAGAACCACAACATTTTATTGACATTGATGGAAAGACAATTGAGTAATGAATAAAAAAAACGATTTTTCATGCAAATATCAATACCCTGTATCTCGAAAACGAAGCAAGTTAGGACACATGTTTATATGGACTTTATTTTCTAAAATATCACAAGGAACCACCTCTTGAAATTTTCTCGGTGTTATTTGGATACACCCTGTATGAACACTCAAAAATGAATCTAAAATAAGAAATCTGGTTTGTATAAACCCTCACGAGGAGGATTTTTACAAATTTTTCAAAAATTACAGGGTGTTTCAATCGAAAACCAAACAACAAATATAACGCGTTGTATATTTTTTCGCAGAGCAATATTACATCAAGGCATATTTGGTCCTTCTGCCATATTTTTGTCCAAACACTCCGCCCTTAGCCTATGTCCCAATAGTTATGACTCGCCCTGTACAGCATATAATTCAATGTCTGAAGATAATTTCAATCACAAAAAGTGCATTCATAACTTGTGACTTGTGTCAGATATTTTTTGCAAGGATCGTTTCTTGAAACATTCAGTTATTACGTTTTATTTCGGAATTATCAATCGAAAAGATTTCCGGGAAAATCACGTGAGATCAATTGCAAAACTTGGTTTTCTATTCGGGCCAGGAGCTATTTCACTTCCATCAGCTGTTTATGATCTATAAGGGACAGATCCGACCTGTCCTGTAATACTGTTCCCATATTTGGAGTGAAGCACCCGAACATACCCTGAAACTGATGGATTCTGTCCAAAAAAAAGGCACTTCGTCTCGTGGGTGATGCCTCGTTCACAAACTCACTCACTTCTCTGGAACACCGTAAAAAAGTTGGCAATCTGGCTCTATTTTATAGATATTTCCATGGACGATGCTCTTTTCCATGGACGATGCTCTTCTGAAATATAAACAATTGTTCCTGCCTTGGCAGTCCCCGCGAGATTAACCCGACGAGTTGAGGCTTCGCACCCTTTCGTGGTCACTTTGAAGGCCTGCAGAACATCTATATCCCGAGATTCGTTTATCCAACGAACAGCGAGGCTCTAGAAAACATTGTCAAGGGAATTGTTCCCCTAGGCATATAACCTCCAGAAATTTAAGAAGAACACCAATTCCTACCTTATTTCCCTTGGTTCTCACGATGTTCTCTGAACATTACAAGATATCCCTTCTCGTGGGAACCAGAATATAAAATTAAAAAAAAAAATTGTGCTAGTATCCGGCCTGGCTTCGCACAATAAATAAATAAATGAGACATTTGTTTCGTTTTTTAATTTTGTACCTATATAGCTACTGTTTAATGATTACACCTATTCTCATTCTCCCAGTATCTTTTGTATTTTTTGTCGTTGTTTTACGTATTCAAAATTTCAACCCAATCGGTCATGCCGTTTAGTAGTTGACGTTCCGACAACCGTATCCAATTTTATTTTTAAATCATCCAGGAAACCATCGAAATACCCATGTAAAATTTCAACCCAATCGGTTCAGCCATTTAGAAGTTACGTGAAAAAGATAAGTACGGAAGGGTAATACTTACCTACTTACCCGTTTTTCCGTAGGAATGAAGCATTTTCCTGCGGTAAAAAGTAGCCTATGTTCATCAGGGATAATCTTGGCTTGGATTTTTCAAATCAATGCAGTACTTTCGGAGCCTATTCAATACAAACAAACTCACAAAAAGAACAAACAAATAAACAAATCTTTCCTCTTGCTTGATAATATTAGTATACATATATTGCTTGTGAACTTTATACTTCAGTGATCTCACCTTCATCTGATGCTCATCTTGAAAAAAGTAAAACACTCAAAGGAAGTTATGCGGAAGTGCTTCGAATAAAAGAACTCCATCTCTCTACATTTCTCATTTGTTTAAGATTCAGGAAAGCATCTCTCGAAATGTAAATACAATTTTTCCCATTTGATAATGGACATGGAATTAGTTTCGTACGAAGTAGAAATGTTGAAAACTTCATGATTGCTCTGGACCGAAAGTAATGAAATTCAGGATGCTGAACCATTGTTCTAAATGAAAGCCTAGTTAGTTGGCTACTAATCTGAAATTTGTCTGCCTGTCAATGTCGCTGGTATACTGACAAATTCTGGAATATTATTCACAAACTGACTGAAAAAATTTAACTAAACTGTTTCTCTACAAGAATCCATTTTCAAACTAAGACTCGCGTCTAATATGTATCTGAATAGCTGAAATTGAGCTGTTGTGAGTTGAAATCTTAGGGAAACCATGCACTACATGGATGTTGAATATGAAACATACCTGAATAACATTTTCAACGTCCGTAACTGATGCAAAAACTTCACAAACGATAAGATTCCCACAAAATTCTTAAACACTCAACATGTTTCGCTAACACAGTAGCTTCGTCAGGTGATATACTGATACAATGAACTAGTTTTAGTTTATATATCAGGATCTGAATTCAAAAAAGTATACTCTGGTCAGTTTCCATCGCGGATCGTTTCATCGATTCGGCTTGACTAGATGGTTTTATCCGATTTGGTGGCGAGTATCACACACTGTGTTTCTCGGATCTGTAACTGAACATCACATATCAATATAGGAGGTCATAAGAATCAAAAATGAATAATATTGGAAGCAGTACATGGATGTTGAATCTGAAACTTAACTGAATAACATTTTGAACGTCCGTAATTGAATTGCAACATATTTGGTTGCTTTCGGAATAGTATAGTTCCCTCAGTATGCATCATCCACCTTTCCACATTCCCATGTTCCACATATCCAGATTACGTGGGTTATAATAAACAAAGTGCTGCTCGGATCTAAAACTGAGTATCAATTGAAAAATTTTATTCGTGAGAGGTACAACATTCGTAACTGGAACGCGATATATTCTCGGACTGTATCAATTCATTCACTTTCTCAATGAATACGAGGCAGGCAGATAAGCAACAGTTTTCTCTACAATGAAAAACACTGTATATACCTAACCCATCAGGCGCCTACCTCCTTTGCAGAGAGGATTTATGAACGCCAAGTTGGTACTCTCCCCTCGTAAGGGTACCTGTCGTGTTCCCATAGAGACATAAAGGTGAATATCTGTCTATCTGTTTCCTTGAGAATCTGGAAAGGATATCAAAATATATCGCCTTCCGTACGAATATAAGGATCTGAATTCAAAAAAGTATACTCTGATCAGTTTTCTCCGCGGATCGCTCCTTTGGTTCGGCTTGACTGGATGGTTTTCTCCGATTTGGTGGTAGATATAAAACACTGTGCTTCTCGGATCTACAACTGAACATCAGATATCAAATATCGGAGTTCATGAAAATCAAAAAATGGATAATATCAGATGTGGTACATGGATGTTGAATGTGGCCAATTTGGTCAATTTGGAACAAAAAGTTCACACAAAATGCCATTTCATCGTTCAATTCTAGATTTTCTGAAGCAACACCGAAATAATAGACACATCATAAGATGACACCCTCATTTTTTTGTACATGTAGTAATAATTTGTTATCAATAAATAATACGAGATCTACTCACCACTTGATTCGACAATGCTCTATTGAATCTGATTTTTCAAGATTGGATATAGTAATTGTCTAGTCCCATAACTATGGACTGTATTGACTTCATCAGAAGCTTAATTTGATATTTTCAATTCGTTCCTGGCAAAATGAATAAAACAACATATTCCAAGTTTATATAACGAAATCAGGTTCAGAAAATGTCTAGGTTTGTATAAATTCACCGTTGGTTCTAGGAAATGTAGATGAAGAATGCATTTGATTGATTTGTTTTCGAAATTTTTTCAGTGGTTTCGGGCGTGATATATTTGTACTACCCCGAATAGAAATTAAATATTGAAAATTTGAATAAATGCGGAAAAAGTAAATACATTTCCAGTATTTTATGGGAATGATGTCTCGGATTTTGAATAGAATGTCTATAATCGGATTTATTTTATTTCTCAAACGGTCTATGTTCAGTCCATAATAATTTGTCATCAATATAGAGAAGAATCTTGTCACGTCTGTATGTTCAATGAATTCATCGTTGAAATATCAACTAATCTCTTTGATATATACATATATGTAGATTTGTTATAATTCAGAGTAAACTTATGAATTTGCATCCAAGATGATATGTTTTCCAAATCACTTTCAATATCCCTTTCAATATCATTTGATTCTTTCGATATATAAATCAATGTTGTATCATATGCATCTGCATCTGCAATTTCAGCTTTGCTCCCAATTTCAGAGTTAATATTGAATTAATATAATTTGAAAATAAAATTGGTTCCAGAACCAGTTTCAAAAGATTTTTTTTCAATGTTCACTTGTCACTTGTGAATGATACAAGCTGTTTTCAAACCACTCAAATCGACCGAGTACGATGATATCTAATATGAGATTGAATATTGCATGCCTTGATGTTTGATTCGCCATCCTAATGACTAATTAGTTACATCACCCTTCTGATTATTCCATCAATTCCAGAACAACTATTTTATCTATGACTAAAAAACATTTATTCTATCTATTGATATCAAATAAAAGTATTCGAGGAACCTTCTCTTGTATGATATGAACCAATTGAACTATTTTGTCTCCCAGCCTCAGTTGTCAAAGAGATATTCGGTTAAAAATGAACCAATTTCAGGTGACCTAAATTATCCGATTGAAAGTTCTGGTGGTGTATTGTTGTAACAATATCATAGGATCTTTATTTGGTAAATTATAATCTCAATGAGATAGTCAAAACACAAGTACATAGGTAATAATTAATTTCAATAAGGCAGGATGTTGACTATAGATATTGGAAATTTCATCACACAACCAGAAAGAAACACTTCATATCTTTATCGAGTCACTTATTACTCTTCTTTGTTCTGGCAGTTGTTGTAATGCCACTCTGAAATCCCTCTTCCAGGCACTCCATTAACCTCGCAAACAATGAATCTCTCGTGCAACCTAGCCTCAATATCGCTTCCTTTATAGTGGACAGCCTCCTGGACGTACTCCACTCTGACGTCATAAGTCTCACCGCCTGCTACGAAAGTGAACGCCATCTCTGCCGGCATCACGCCATCTTCCCCGTGTTCGTACAGCACCAAGTCGACGCTTTCCACCGGGTCTAGCCTACCTGTAATGAACGCGAAGACAAAATTTATCATTACGAAAACTAATGCCAGTAGTAAGGAGAAGGTCGTCTCCGTTTCAAATCAGGAGGGTGAATAAATGATTTTGTAAGAAAAAGGGAATGAAAATAGGTTTGTTATTGAGTACTTGGCAGCGCTTGGAAAAGAGATGACAAGGGCATGAAGAGATCAACAGAAGATTGAAGAGTGTACAGGGATTTCAGAAACGTATAGGCTCAAAGTTGAAGGTTAAAGTGATCATCCGCAGGGGGCAGAGTCAATGCCAGATGATTAATTAGAAAAATCAATTGGATTCAAATCATTACAAACATAGGAATCCTTTTTGTGCGAGTCATTTCTGAGATATCAAACTGATTTTTGCAAGAAAATTTCATTAGGTTAGCATCGAAAATCCTATTTTCCGCTTATTTTCAGTATCTATCTGATATCACTTCAACTAAACGAAAATCTGATGGATTCTGCTTCAATTTATGACCAAATATTAGTATAGGAGCAGGATAATCTGGAAAAATATAGTCAGTAAACGTCATGATCACCACAATACGATGTGCCGATCTCCGTTCTGGTAGTTGAAAAGTTGTTCTAATGGGCGTCGGAAATGATATTCAACCCATTCCAGAAACAGTCTTGAGTCGAGTCTCGAATTATCTCCAAAGTATATCTGATTTGTTCGTGAAGCTGCCACCATCAATGATTAATACCTATATTATCGTTTGCGAGGTTGTAACAGAGCACAAAGTGAAATACTCAAAATAATGAACCCAAAATGTCAGTAAATTCAACATGTCATCAGTGACTGTTCCTTTGCCTGACCATAAGATGTTTGAATACATGTTTCTATAACTCTATAGTATGCCTTCTGCCTAATTAATCACGAACCCTGACCCCGTGATCATGAAAAAGTAACTCTTTGAGAACCTCTGTGGTAGGCCAACAAAGGAAAAGTGGAGCTTCACATACCGTCGGGGTGATTCACGAAGCCCATCTCCAGGAGGGAGGTGGTGGATGGCTGGCTGACCACCCCTATCGCTATCTTGGTTCGGTCGGATAGGTAGAACATGTGGTAGATGTATCGGTGCATGAGCGACCAGTCTCTTTTGTGACCTGTAGAATAGCAGGAATTGATTGAAGAAGAGAAAAAGTGCATTAAGTGAATTAGGATGGAGAACTCTGAATCGTCTCCACAACATTGTTCATTTCTTATGGGGAAGGATTACATCCAAAATACTGATTCATATTGCTGAAATTTTATCGCAATGATTACTATACAAAATTACTATAATAAAATGGAACTTTTTACCATGAATTGTGCTTGGAGCTGTAATCGACGCACTTTATAGTAAAGGGTCAATAATTATAGTGTATTTCACTATAATTTTCTTCTGTGTAACACCATTTAGGCAGGCTCAGTATATCAGCCAATCAGTTTTCTTCGGATGAAAATTAATTACGCTTGTATCAGTACTTTTATACTATTTATGAAATACGTACAGAATATTGTCGCATGAAATTATATTTATAAATATTAATGAGTTAAGAGATGTCCAAATGTTTGATGTTTTCTCAAGAACCAAGAGAGATATGAAGAAATGCTCAAATGTCACAATTCCTCCATTGCTATATGCATAACAATGACAAAATTGCAAGAACTTTACTTGAATGTACAGTACACCTACTTACTGTACCTGGAATCGCCTCAGGGGCTCAGAATACCTATAACGATCTAGTTTAATTAAAACTTTATAACTTTTGATTTATTTCTGAGAGGACATAATCCAGATAAAACTTTTGCAGACTTTTAACTAGAAGGTATGTACATACTTGTTTCGACGAAATAACTGCATATTTTCATTAATTGTAGCTTGAGGATTCTGTGGTGAACATAACGCGACTCATTATATTGAATATTAGCCCAGGAGCGTTAACAGCCAAACTTCAAATGTAACCACAAACTCTCATTAGACTCTTATGTTTAGAGATTCTTCTACTTCTCTTCTAAGATTCCTTTTTGAGCAATAACAGTTTTTGATATAGCAAAATTCCTTTTAATTTGAATCTTTAGGAATTTCCCACAAAATATAATAGTTTACCTATATGGTGAGAAATAATTTTTTCAAGTATGGTATACTTATTAGTTACACACGAGAATTGTTGATGTTGATGAAACATATCTTCAAATCTCAATGATTTTTTCCAAGGAATAACAAGGAAGTTTTCGTCATTTTATGTACCACTAGACAATAAAGACATAGCAACCTCTATTATAACTAACCCTCAGCTGAAGCCTCGGTATACTCTTGATCCCTGGGCAATTGAAGAGTGGAAGTAACAAAGGTGCTAAGTGCCGTAATTTCATGAATTGAGATATTGCCGTAGAACGGTTTTGAACGACATGCTTTATGACCTGACAAAAGCTACCTTTTTTAAAGTAAATGAGTTGCGCAATCTAAATTTCATACTCAAACTCCTGTTCTTCCATTGGCGTAGAATTTTTAAAGGTGCAATTATTTAAAAAATCAAGTTCTACGTCTATGGAATAATATCGGAAAAAATTTCAACACCATTTTGCCACATAAAACTCTATCAATAAACCAAATTTCAGCAAAATCGCATATGCCGTTTCAAATTTATATGGGAAAAACGATTTAAAAATTGTAATTTCAAGGTCCTCTGGAGCCCAAACAATGCAACTATGTCCTGAGGTAATTTTACTTAAATCGACTTATTTTGGTCTAGGGAATATGTGGTATGTTTTTGTAAAGACCTTTTACAGACACTCTGTATAGACAGATGTGTTCTGATGAAGTGATGTTCGACATATTTCGAGTTTGAGAACGAAACGATGTGCTGCGACTGTGCTAGTCGAATTTGTCTGGTTGGTATAGCTGGCAATGGAATGATAGAAGGGATTTCTGAAGAACATTTCCCTACCTCCTCTCCCCATCCCCAATAGGTACGCACGATGTTCTTCGACCATTATATAGAGATTCCATTTCGTGCGCTCCAAGCGAATAAAAAACAATTTTCAAGTTTTTATTCTAAATAATGGAAGTTGTAAAAACTTCTAATGTGTGTCCTACGTAAAATACCCATTTCCATAATTATGTTTGACTTATTTGTTTTTCCTAATTTTTATGGACTGATTTTCAATCTTGAATATTTCCAATCGAGTTTTCACAACAATATGAAATGATACCACGATACTGTTCCAGTTCGGAAATTTTCTATTGTCTGGCTCTTCAATTCTTGACATAGATTACACGTCGTGTTTACTTCAGTGGAAAATTGAGATGCGTCTCCAGTCTCTATAATATCAAGGTAAATATTGACAATATTGTTATAGATAGATCCGAAATTCATATCAGCACTATAGGAATATCTCACAACGAAGAAACTCAATTTATTCAAATCAAGTTATGTTGAACAAAAAGTCAAAGATGAACCCACTAACGGTCAGTTTGATTCCATAAAACATAAATGATGTTGATGATTGGTATGCCTATATTGGATTTGAGAAATGGAGCAAACAATGAATCAATTTGAATAATTCAATGACCAAGCATGGGAGTATCTCCTCAGGGATTTTTATATTGATTATTGAAAAAAATATAATTGTGATAATTTCAAATAATGAATGAATAAATAAAATGGGTATGTCGGCGTCAATCAGTGGAATCCGTCATTCCGTGAAATGCATATAGAGGTGGACAGCGTAACTCTACATTTCCCGTAACTCTGTTTGCCGGAAGGTTGAGGAAGAAGAATATCAAAATTTGAAAGAATACTACTTGTCCTGAACAATCTATCCTACTCGGCCTAAATGCACCTTCTTCCTAGAAAGTATACAGGGTGATCCACGGTGGATGGCCTATCAGAAGTATCTGAAGAACGAAAAGACAGAACATCCTGAAAATTGGGTTTCTTCGATAATTGAACATTCTCTATCCGTCTAAAATATTTTCATCGATACAGTGCTGCCACTTCTATCAGAAACAGTTAGCAACTTTGTTATTTCAAATGGAACACCCTGAAATTTATTGCATTTTTAGATTCTTTGCGAAAAGCTGATTTCATCAATGCATCATACTTGGTAGACCCTAAGTGTGATCCATTGATGAAATCAGCTTCTCAGGGAGAATCTAAAAATGCAATGAAATACATGGTGCTCTATTTGAAATAACGAAGTTGCTAGTTGTTTCTGATAGAAGTGGCAACACTGTATCGATGAAAATATTTTAGACGGATAGAGAATGTTCAATTATCAAAGCATCCTAATTTTCAGAACGTTCTGTCTTTTCGTTCTCCAGATACTTCTAATAGGCCATCCACCGTGGATCAGCCTGTATTTTTTGGAAAATTACTTGAGAGATCAAAAGAGACTTCTGTTTCTGAACAGCCTAACCTGACTTGGACTAAATGAACCTTCCTTCCGTCATATCAGGGAATGCCTGAAACTATTAGCCAAAAATGTAGAGTCACGCTGTTTGTCGGCAAAGCGTGAAAGGACTAGGCATTTCAGGAAATGACGAATTTCATTAATTGACACTGACAGATACATGAGCGAATTCGACTATAAAGGGTACAATCCCATTATTCCGCATCAAGGCACTATTTTTGACTATCGGTGGATATTATATAAATCGTTCGTATAAAGACGTAAGTGAATTTGTGAAATATCAAATGATAATTTTAAAAAAAAATGTGAGATGATCTAATAATAATAATAATGTTTATTTGTGATAAGCATATACAGCATTATTATAAAAAGAAGAACAAATAAACATAGTAAGTCACAGAAGCTGTAGCAAAACAACTGCCTGTGTGTGACATCAGAAGAAAATTTTTTCAATGAGGTAAGTATGCAAGAATGCATGTTCTCAGATAATTGGCAATGATTTTTGATTTTATTTGATTTTCAGACTAACATTATCATTGAAAAGGAACATTCTCAGATATATTTATGAACACAAAAAAAATGGATGTATATATATATGAAGAAATACATTGAGAATTCGCATTCTCCATGCGATGAAAATATCAATTCTTTCACGGTTTATTCAATAGAAAACAACTACTTTCCTGGCTATATATGCCACGACGAATATTGAATTACATCTATTGAACACACACGATGAAAGTCTGAGAACAAAATCTTCTGAAGTAGAGAATTTGCATCCTCCTTCATATAAAGGTATGCATATAATATAATTCTGAATATTCAACAAAAAACAACTACTTTCCTGGCTATTTGCCACGTCGAACATTGAATTATATCTGTTAAATATCCAGAAAGAGAGTATGAAAGATCAAAATCCTCTGAAATTGAGAATCAACATCATCTCCCAAATCGAATAGAATAATATGTAATAGATGTAATTCAATATTCGTCGTGGCATATAGTCAGGAAAGTAGTAGTTTTCTATTGAATAAACCGTGAAAGAATTGATATTTTCATCACATGGAGAATGCGAATTCCCAATGTATTTCTTTATATATATATACAGGGTGACATAGAAAAAAGTACATTGCATAGTGCCATACAATAGAGGACACTAAAATGAGGAAAAAAGTTCCTATGAACATGGGTCCGCAAGGCCTTCGGTTAAAAGATACGGGGTGTTGAATTTAATATTTTTTTGGAGTTTTCTTTGAATATCTTTAGCCAGAGACACAAGAAATGGATTAAATGTGGTATACAGGGGTTTTTTATCGTGCTAAATTCAAATATGATCTTAGTTTTGTGATGACTGATAGAGGGCGCTACATACAGGGTTCCATCCCTATTGATTCGGTCGTAAATTTTCTTGCTATATACTGTATGTCATTTTCGACGGAAACAATTTATTATCCCTTTTTTTCATACATAAAATAACATTACCATCTTTGATCAACAAAGGATTCAAATAAGCATCTTGAAGTATTGAGAACCCATTTTTTAAAAGACGTGAGTGGAGTGGAGTGGAGTAGTGGTCCTAATTAATTTGCGTTTCGTTGACCTACAGGTTTTTTAGATAGAGGTAAAATTATTTTATTGCTTTTGTTTCTAGTGTCATGTACATGCCTGATAGGTTCTATTTCAATGTTTTTTTATAAATTATTTTGAGGACCCATTCCTGAATGACATTGAGATTTTCTAAGTAACTATCCGTTGCTCCACCCCAGCCAACTATGCCATACAATAATTGTGATTGGACTAAGGAATAGTATAGTGTCTTGAGGTGTCTTATTTCCAAGAAATCTCTCAGGTACGTATCTAAATCTAATTTATATAATAACCCTCTCAATTTATTGGTCACCGCTTCTTTATAGATTCCAACGTAGGTGGCGGTCTACCATCACTCCTAAATATTTAATCGAATGGCTTTCGGGAATATCATAAGTATCCTAGGTCCTAGGTTTGGTAATCCACTTGAATATGAGCAAAACGGCAATTATTGATTTTTCTCAAAATTTAATATCAATTTATCATACTGAAACCATTTCTTTACCTATATTAATTGAATCACGTTCTACAGTTATTTTCAGTTCTTGTCATGTATTTGCTTTATATAGAATTGCAGTTTCATCTGCGAAACTTAGTATTTCCCCTTGTTGAAACTAATAATTCAGTAACGTAATTAATTTTTCTGGTGTTCAAATAATGCTTTCACCAATACCAAAGAATAATAAGTTATTTCGAACAACAAATTGAAGAGCTGTAAAATCAAGGAGAAATACTGTATTGAGAACGTACCAAAACTGTGATCTCTGAAGGCGTCAACTTCCTCTAATTTGATCGTTTTTCCATCAACTTTCAATTTTCCGCTCAAATATCCCATCTGCTCATAGTGGCTCTGATGTGCCCTGCAAACATATCGTCATCAATGATCCATGAAGAGAAGGACAAATTTATTCTGAGAGTGGAGGACATCCAGACAAGTCTGAATTTATAACTTTCATGACAGGGCTCCATGTCTCCCGTTTGGGATATTGGGAGATTTGTGCTCGATAATCACACCACAAGACTGTTCAACCACTAATAAATAATCCGATTTTTTAACGCGTCGACATGTGTTTCGCTAACTATGTTTGCACCTCCAGGAGAAGATTAAAACTGAATATTCTATTCTATGGGAGTTTGAAAATCACCCTATATATCTCAAATGGCAGACATAGAGCCCTAAACCATCATCGAATCCTAATATTTTCGAAACATGGAAGGAAATAACAAATTAGATACAGTGATAGATAGCAAATCACTATTTGTGATCATTTGAAAGACCCTCCATTGGAGAGAAACAATCATAGCGGATGTGACGATATAATTCTTTGAATAAATACAAAAAGCTCAACGTCAGTCATTTCCACACAATGTTCATAAAATGAACAACAATGGTAGATTCCGGAAGAAAAACAATTACTTTCCTGGCCAATACCATGCAGAACATTGAATCAAATCCTCCCGAAATCTATGCATCGACTCGTCTAAACAGATACTGATAGAAGTGATTCTTTCCTGAATGCCTATTGATTTCGATTTAGCCAGGCCACGCTAGACACCTACAGATCGGTTTCGAGTTCTTTGACTCTCATCAGTGCAGGGCAGTCTCCAGCCAGCAGTCCTGCTGCCGGTCTGTAGATGTCTAGCATGGCCTGGCCTAATGAAAGTACTTTTCTTACTCTTTCAACCGTTGGAAGTATTCCTTATCCCAAGTTTCTCTAGCTATCGCTCTAGCCAATACCTTGCTGGGAACATCTACTTCGAAGAAAAACCATTTGTAGTCACTGTGCCAATCTGCCTCTAGCTCAATATCCACTGTCTTGTTTGGACTGTTGTGCACCCTGGAAAAATGTTGTGAAATCTTGCTCATAAAAATCGGATTTTTCAAAAGGACACATAGAGTTGAAGTATAATTTGGGATTGCCGATGAACAGTCATAGGGTTCCTGTACAGCAAAGAGTTATTTGACAGTAGGTATACTGAAGCTAGCTATATTACAGCGGCGCATCCAGCAAGCTTTTTCGGGAGGGTGGGGGGAAAATCACATCTTATGTCATAATATTTTTCGAAAAGGAATATTCTCAGATATGATCATGAACACAAAAAAATTCATACAATGTGCTTTTCACTTAAGAGACATGTTTCGACCATTCAAATGGTTATCATCAGTCAAAGTACAGAATAAAGGTGATCTACAAAGAAAGTTGAGAAACAAACATATTCAACTACTTTTTTTCGAAAAATGAGTGATGTAAGGAGATTGTACTCACGTGGAAATGGCTATGACATAATGCAGACGAAAAATCATTTTTATTTATTGTAGAACATAATTAAATCTCAATTCGACAATTAAGTTGTATTTTATGGAGGAAGGTAGGGCCAATCCACCCAAAACTTGGGGCCCATCGGCATCTGAATCTGAGAATCTGACGATGTAACATCATGCTTGCTCATTATTTCAAGAAAGTTATATACATAAAGAAATCCATTGAGAATTCGCTTTCTCCATATGATGAAAATATTAATTATTTCTCGGTTTATTCAACAGAAAACAACTACTTTCCTGACTATATTCCACGACGAACATTGAATTATATCTATTGAACACACACGATGAGAATTTGAAAACAAAATCTTCTGAATTCAACAGAAAACAACTACTTTTCTGGCTATTTGCCACGTCGAACATTGAAGATCTGTTGAATATCCAAAGAGAGAGCATGAAAAATCGAAATCCTCTGAAATTGAGAATTGACACTATCTCTCAAATCGAATAGAATAATATGATGTTTTATGATATAAAAATATAACTCACCAATGTGTTCAGTATTGAAATGAAAATTGGAAAGAAATCATTCGTATCAGTGATATGGGAATTATATCTCCCATGCACAAACAAACAAGAAATGCATATCCTTGATAGTGAAATACCAGTTCACTACTTGGAAAGGACTGAACGATTGTAGGTTCCAGTACTATACTAATACTATAAAATGGAGAAACATATATGTTTTGTCAATGCGAGATAGTTACCTCATTTTTCCTCGAAATTGAACCTTCCATTTCTTCATAGGCTTCACTGGTGTCATAGTAAGGCCTCCACCAGAATAACATTTTTGGTAGTATATCGAGTCTGTGTCTGCATCCATTGTGGTTTTGGGAAGGGTCTCACTTTCAAGAATACCATACTCAGGTAACTAAGAACATTACATGAATATAACTAAGTATACACTTATTCTTCTTGAAAAATTGTGAAACTCACTACTAAATATACTAATCCAACAACTTTAGCTTCGTGTCTTCTCTCAATGCCGCAACAGAAATACATCCCATCTTGTGTCACTGCATGGAAGAAAACTGCATCAAAAGCCTAATAAAATTAAAATTCTAGTAGGTTAATTCTGTGACATATCTTTATATCTACACAGTCACATACAAACTGTCACAAGTGCTGTATTATATTTGTAATGGTTGGCCCCAGAAACTAAGGAGTGTATCAAGAGAAGCAATACAATATTTCACAAGCAGATATGAACTCTTTGAAAATAAAGGATTTATCTTTAAAAACAAACTACTGTTGGTTTCCTGTTCATTGAGAAAGGATTTGATAGAACGATTCCATCTAGGTCATATAAGTATAAATTCATGCATCAGAAGAGTACAGGAGGAGGCCAGAGGACGTAAAAGAGATTCAGCTGAGGAAGCTGCTGAACTTCTCCAAGGCAGTCGGCATACCCAGCTGAATGTCGTAACATGTGGGCGCACAATGGGCCCGAATAAGGGGGGCCCACGTGCAGGGGGTTCACCTGCCCACCAGTGCTTCGAAGAAGAAGAAGAAGAAGAAGAAGGAGAAGAAGAAGAAGAGTACAGGAGGCGTTTCATTGGCCCAGTATGACTACAGATTTAAGGAATTATATAGCCAGTTGCATTACTTTTCAAAAACAACTAAGATGTAATGTAAAAGAACCCTTATTATCACCGATTGCAAACTATCCTTGGGAGCAAATAGGAATGGATTTCTACAGAGTCGATGAACGAGACTATTCAATGATAGCAGACTACTTTCCGAAGTTCATGATTATTGAACCAATGAAAACAACCAGTGCTATGAGTGTATTGTCCGTCCTTGAAAAGTGTCTTGCATATCATGGTTTACCAACAGGAGTTCGATCTGATAATGGACCGCCATTCAACTCCGAGGAATCATCAGACTATTTTATAAAGGAGGACATCTTATACGAAACAAGCAGTCCTTATCATCCGCAATTAAATGGTCTCGTCGAACGCCATATTCAAACAATCAAAAATATGATTCTGAAATCACCTGGGGAAAGTGTCCAGGCATTGACGATGATTTATAATAGCACCCCAAAGTATAACTTGCCAGCTCCGTCAGAAATACTCATGGGCGAAAAATGAAGAACAAACCTACCAACGTGCGAAAATGCTTTGAAGCTAAATATATCACAGGACAATAACCAAAACCAAAGAAAATACAGCACCCATAACAATCACTGGGTAGAAGAAAGAAGCCCAGTGAGAGCAGATGGGCTTGTGCAAAAAGGCATCAGAAATTTGATTGTAGCAAAATTTGTAGAGGAAGACATTACTTCAAACTCATATACATCATTCGTTCCATTTGGGAAATCTTCGAACTCCATCGGGAACAATGACAAATTCCAAGGTGCTGGAAGAAAGAAATGAAGTGCTGGAATGGATGGAAGATGGAAGGGTGCAAAGTGATGTCCTTGTAAATAAAGAAAGGAAGACTGAGCCAGAAATTGAGCGAAGACGAAGTGCCAGAGAAATAAAAACTCTACAACGATATCAAGACTGATATATATAGATCGCCATCTAGAGGCAAAAATTCAATCCGAGCAAATCATCCATTCGAAACGAGTTCATTGCTACATCGGAATGAGAAAACTTGTATGTTGTTTCAAAGATATATCCTCATCAAAATGATAATCAGTTTATCAAATCAACAAAATGTTCATAGTTGTATCAACATCGCTATTATTTTGGATCAACATAAATTGTTTTTGATATAACTATATGTTTTGTTGATGGAATTAATATTATACTGTTGATTTAATTAAACTACAATAATCATGTAGCTGTTTGATTCAACAAAAAAATTTCTGAGTCCAACAAAAATAATTCAAGCATAAATCATTTCTTGGGGCAACAAATGCTTTTTTTTTTTCGTGTTCGTTCCGTCATTGCAGGGAATGCCTGAAACTATTAGGTAAACGCTGTACAAAATTCAGAGTTATGCTGTTAGCCGGCAATACGTGAAATGACTAGGCATTCCAGAGAATTAGGATTTCCCTGTTTGACGCCGACATATCCATTTTATACTCAAAACCTTCACATTCAATTTTCAGGAAAAGTCACTGACAGGACAATAATCCTATTTAGGATGCGATCAATGGTTTGAATGTCTCAAAAACACGTGTTTTGCTATGCCAGTCTCAGGTTTTCACTATTTTTTATGGCGTTGGGACATGGATTGACTTTTTTTTATTTTCACCGATACTATACTACATTAAAAGTACACTTACCAACTTATGATTCGATAGAGTCTGCAACTTCTCGAGCACATTTTCTTTGTGGAAAAATCGTTTCCCACATAATCGGTACTTCAGTCTTCTCAGTATCAGCAACGCTCTGAATACGAAATATTTGAAATAATACCACTTTCCAATCGGGGCATATACTCCAAATATTCTCTTTGGTTTCCTTTTCACGTCGTCATCCCGCGACTTCAATCCCTTCTTTATAATCACAAAGATGATCAGAATACCAATGACTGCCCCGAAGATCATGGTTCACACTGGTGTTGCTCACGCTCTTACTATAGACAGATCGGGAATTTTCATCGCGGGATATATCTTATCTTGAACATTCAACTTAGACATGTGTTCATTGAAAGCCTCTCGATAAATGCGTTATCAGGTGGAAGTATGATACTCAAATGTAAATGTGTCGTCATGCATTATTGATATTGAACACTTTGTAGTTTGTTGTGTTATCTTAATTGTAGACCGTAAATGACTACAATACAATATACAATACAATATACGTTCATTTTCCTATTGAAAAGGAATATTCTCAGATTTATTTATGGACACAAAAAAATGGATATACACTCAGTTCTAAAAAAAGGAACGCACTTGATATTTGACTTATCTTAAAAAAAAAATAGTAGGCCGATTTCAATTCTTTTTTTATTTGTTGGTAGGTAATGCATTTGTCTTTGAAAAAAAATAAGGAGGTGGAAATTTTTTCAAAGCCTCCTTGTTGGTGGTGGAATAACTTGAACCATGATTTATTCTTAATTTTTGACTCACCCCATGTGTTAATTGAGTAACGGTATACAAAGTGCTTGCACCCAATACAAAAGAGGCTTCTTTTGCGAGCATTTTGTTTTTTTATTCATTGATTTACCTCTAAAGTTTTCCAAATTATAGCTATTTTTGCTGAATCCTTGCAGATTACCAACTTTCTGAATTTATCGAGAAACAATTTTCTAATGAAATAAACTGATACCAATAATTTTAGAAAACATTTTCATCAAACACAAAATTATAAATTAGGATGACTGCTTAATACCGTGTATTGCCTCCTCTAGCAACTCTCAAAACTTCTAATCTACGAGGCATACTGGAAATTAAGTTGCATATCGTTTCCATTAGTATACGATCCCATTCTTCCACTAATGCATCTGCCATTTCTGTGAGACTTTACGGAGACCTCTCGCGAGAACGTACCCTTCTCCCTAATTCATCCCACAAATGTTCTATAGGATCTATATCGGGGCTTCTCGCAGGCCATTGTAATGTGGTAATACCAGTAGCTTCTAAGAAGTTTCGCACTATTGCTGTCAAATTGCTGCAATACTTGCGGATTGATCTACGAGCAGTTGCTTCATGAATTCCCATTGCACGAGCGGCGTAACGTTTACTACGCCCATCGTTCACTAACGCAACTAATCTTGCTACTTGTTCAGGATTTATTTGAGGCATTTCATGTAATTTTAGTCAATAAAACAAGACACTTAATTAATGAAACAACGACAAATGGTCAAATATGGGGCATACAACAAATTAGTTGCTATGGCAACGGCATTTGTTTTTTTAAAGACAATGTGATCCTACCAGAGTACAATCCAATCAATTTTGAGTACTCTGATCCTTCAATAAATGTAATTTGTGGGATAAGCGTAAGGTATCAGCAAAAAAGCTGTAATTCGCAAAATTTTAGAGATAAATCAATGAATAAAAAAACAAAATGCTCGCAAAAGAAGCCTCTTTCGTATAGGGTGTGAGCACTTTGTATACCATTACTCAATCAACACACAGGGTGAGTCAAAAATTAAGAATAAATCATGGTTCAACCACCATCAAGGAGGCTTTGAAAACATTGTCATTTCTTTATTATTTTTAAGACAAATGCATTACCTACCAACAAATAAAAAAGAAAAAAATCGGCCTACTATTTTTTTTCAAGAAGATAGGTCAAATATCAAGTGCGTCACTTTTTTTGGAACTGAGTGTATTATATATGCATATCTTTATATGAAGAAGAATGCTAATTCTCTACTTCAGAAGATTTTGTTTTTAAATTCTCATCGTGTGTGTTCAATAGGAGATGTAATTCAATATTCGTCGTGGCATATAGCCAGGAAAGTAGTTGTTTTCTGTTGGATAAACCCTGGAAGAATTGATATTTTCATCACATGGGGAATGCGAATTCTCAATGTATTTCTTTATATAGTATATATATTTCCATTTTTTTTGTGTTCATCAATATATCTGAGAATGTTCCTTTTCAATAATAAAGCGAGAGAATTATCTAGAATGTTCAGAATATCGTGATATTACTTATGAATATGGCATAAATATGTCAGTATACTCCAGTACTCCACCCCGCACTTTGATTATCTCTCAAAGTCATGAGTCAAACAACGCCCTTATGTAATCAGCAATGAATAAGGGAAAATGTATTCTTTCGCTAAACTGATGAGTTTTCTTTATTCACATCTCGGCCATAACAGGAAAAGCTTCTCTCCTTTGAAATATCAAAAAAGCTATAAATATTCCATAACATTTTAAGCATCAATTTGCAAATCAAAGCGACCCAACTGAGGCGTTCTCATCCAGCTAAAATTCTTCGACTGTGGCATAGAGACATTTACTTTATGCTTAGGAAATGGATCACAATTCCATCAGAAATCATGTATTGAACGACATTTTTTACCCTACATTCTGTGAATATGTATGCATAGAACTTTGGCATTGGAAAATATTGAAAACTCATAGATTTTCATTCGCGAGAAAACAATACAGGGTCCTGCATCTCACCTCCCGTCTCCTATAGCTCATTTAGTTGAGTCAGGAATTTGATATTTTGCAAACTCCAATTGTATCTTAGGTCACATACCAGGAAAATAATGTCGATTATACAGGGTGCCCCAAAAAAAGTGTCATCGGTCCAGTGATAGTCAGGAAAAAAAATGTAATTATTTTGCACCACTGGTCAAAGACATTAATAACAAAAAAGAGAGTGCCTGCTCAATAGAATCATTAGAGATATATCATATAAGGCCTAAGACAGGGCCTACTCATAGAGTAGGCCCTGCCTAAGAGGATCGCTAACCAAGTTTGATTGACACGAATCATCACAGGGTGTGCAAAATTTAGTGGCAAACTTTTCAAATCTCAAAGCATTATATTTTCCTTATTTCAAATTGGTTCCCCTGTGAATTTTTATGTCATTCGATGCGTGAATAAAAAACAAATTTTTTTCTCATTACAGCCCCATCGAAATCCTCATCGTTATCAAAAGTTATTTGCCGAAAACTCGTTTCATCAACGATTCTAATAGTCCTTTGGATGAATACAAAACGAAGGTGGCTTTGAGAAAAAAATTATTGACATTTAACTTTAATGAAGTGTCAGGAGTCTATTTGGGCTTGAGTAGTTCAAATTCAATACTTTGTTACCTCATTATTATGAATTTTTTTAACTGTTCATAACGAAACATTGTTTTTTGTTAATATGTCATTTGTAGAAGGTACTTTTCCAAAGCAGCTGAAAATGGGAAAAGTATCTCCAATTTTCAAAAAGAAATCACCATCTATGATAAAATACTATCGTTCAGTTACTGTCCTATATGGACTTTCAAAAATATTTGAGTATGCATTCCTGGATCGTCTCAATTCCTTTTCGAATCAACATAACATTTTTACACAAATGCAGCATGGATTTCGCGGAAAAAAATCTACAAATACTGCCATGTTTTCATTATACAATGAAATCATAAAATATGTTGAAACAGGTGTCAATCACCAGAAGCTCTTAGCAAAACTGGAAATGTATGGACTAAGAGCGCTCAGCTGGATATCTTCATTTCTCAAAAATCGGAGCCAGTATGTGTCCCTTCAGGCAACCATAAATAATGAAATTCGGAGAATTGATTCAGAGCCTTTAAATATAGAGATAGGTGTACCTCAGGGATCCATTTTGGGGCCAATTCTGTTTATTTTGCATGTCAATAATATTGATTCTGTAATAGGTGGGTGTCATTATACGGCCTATGCTGATGACTTATCTTCGATTATTTTTGCCTCAGATACCAGAATTTTGGAAATTAAATGTATCAGTGCAGTTAGTCAGATATCAAATTTTTTTAATAACCATGATTTATTTCTCAATTCAGATGAAAAAAAAAGATTTTCCGCATAGATAATAGACGATGCAAGATGGATCGATTATTGAATATCGAAATGATGAAATGATGTGAAAGTTCTAGCCAATATAATGTTCTCCCTGGGAGGGCTTCCTTTTTTTGAAACACCTTATATCTATACAATATTGATGCTTCTATTTTGTTCTTTTATTGTTATCCTGCATTCAGTAATGTCTTACATGATTGTGTCCGCAAGTTTCAGCTAATTATCCTATCTAATCAGCGACCCATCAACGATGCACTTCCTACTTTTTAATTAATTAAAATTACGGTCAATTTGCGTAATTCAATTACTGTGATTCCAACTTCGCATTGATGAGTTTATACTTTGAGTGGTCCAGCACAGCACTCCCGATGGATCTTGACGAAATTCTGCCGGAAGTCGGTGAATATGGTGCATACCAGAAGTTGGTCATCTGGTTAATATTGGTGCCAGCTGTGTTTCCGTGTGGTTTTCATGCTTACAACCAAATTTTTTTGGCTAACGTACCAGACCATTGGTGTAATGTGTCACAAAGTGGGGAATTCCAAGGAGATATCACCAAAAACTTCAGGTAATTCGGAGAACTGACGATTCATTAACTTTGAAATTCCTTTAGTAAATGTTTCCGCAATATTCTATATCGGAATTTCCTCACACGGCTTCACAAATTACGTCATTGAGTTGATGAATTCAAGCTACTCATCACATCAAGTACCACAGAGGTCCCTCCTTGGGCCCCTTTATTCACTACCTACTCGATATTGATGATATAATATGTGAGGTGAGCGATACACTTAGACTTGGGTGCTATTGATGTACTTTTGCGAAATTTAACTATTGTCCTTGTATAACATAACGATAATGAATAAGAAATGTTCTTTCATGAATTTTGTATACTATCAATTAATTCATGTTCAATATGTTAGGTTATTCTGTTCAATTCAAGTGTTATAAAAGGAGTAAAGTCACGATATCGACTCTAGACTCTCGTATACAGGGTGTATCTAAATTCATATAAACATGTGTTCTAACTTGATTCATTTTCGAGATATAGGGTATTCATATTTCCATGAAAAACCGTGTTTTATTCACTACTCAGTTGTCTTTCCATCAATAATTTCAATAAAACATTTTTGTCAATAGTAATATGATGCTCCTTTTGTTGCTTTTAGATTCTAAATAATATTTCCAGTGGCGTCACAGTGGGTAAATTCATCGATATTTATGGTGCATGTCATTGTACACCACCGGTTTTTCTGAGTTTCATATTTTTATTAGATTGAACTATTGAAATAACAACCTTTTTATCCCCAGTGTAATCTCTGTATCTAGCTTAGTTTTTGAGGAAACCATACACATTCGATTTGACTCCAAATTTTAATGTAATGTGTAATTGTTTTCAAGACCTCCATTGAGATTACTCAATAACCCCAATTAGAATCATTTTGAAATTCTGGGACTTTCTCAGTCTCCATCCATACTGAATTCTGGAACCATGATATATTCAACAGACTATTGTATTAATGAGTGCGAGATCATCATTCGCCTTATTGATTATAATAGTTGGTTTCAAAATTGTTCCGTCGACCATATCTCTCCTATTATACATCAGGAAACTACAAATAATCTCCCAGTAGCCATATGAAAACCAACTTGCCACTGACGTTAGTGACGTTTAATATTTGTCGAAATTATCAGGATGGCAAATAAATTCCTTTTCTCTATGACGAGAAAAAGGTTTGACATTTCATCTTCGTTGACAGGATATAAAATGTAACTTTTCATAAATTACTTTTTTCCCACGGGAGAAAAGTTAGTACTTTTTTCTCGGATATATATATATAATGTTGTTGGCTTTTGTTGTGCTAGTGATGCCTCCCCCACAAACTCACTCACTTCTCTGGAACACCGTAGAAACGTTGGCGATCTGGTTCTATTTTATTGTTCCTCGCTTGGCAGTCCCCGCGAGATTAACCCGTCGGGTTGAGGCTTCGCACCCCGTCGTGGTCACTTTAGAGACCTGCAGAACATCTCTTTCCAAAGACTCGTTCATCCAACGAACAGCGAGGCTCTGGAACACATTGCCAAGGGAGGTGTTCCCCGAGGCATATAACCTCCAGAAATTTAAGAAGAACACCAATTCCTACCTTATTTCCCTTGGTTCTTACGATGTTCTCTGATATCCCATTCCGTGGGACCCAGAACACAAATTAAAAGTTCTGAAAAATAAGCCAATAGCACCGGCTCCGAGAAAGAACTTCAATTCCTTTCATCTTCATCATCCCCATTTCACTTCGCGGTTACTAAAATGACTAATCAACCACTAAGTTCGATTTTTGAAATCAAATCACAGAATTAGACAGATATTTGATTCCTGTTAAAACCCTCAAATTTCACGTTGATAATTTTCTGATTTTAATATAATGTGAAATCTTCTCAATATTGATTCGTTCTTTGTCCTGTCACAGAAAAAAATATTGTATTATACACGGAAAAAATATTAGATTTAAGCGACAACACAACCTCGAACTAAAACCTACAACTTGTTTCCCTTGTATCATACACTAGCTATGCGCGTATCTACAGTATATATTTTTTGTATATTTATTTTATTTTTTGTGCTTACCTATAGCTACTAATATATAATTACTTACACCATCTTACACTCATTTTCAGTCTCCCAGTATCTTTCGTATATTTTACGTATCAAAAATTTAAAGCCTATCGGTCAGGTCGTATAGTAGTTGACTCAGGTACCGACAGCAGCCCCACACCTACCGCGTACAATGGCTATCGGAATACCTGAAATACCCATATGAAATTTCAACCCAATTGACCATTCTAGAACACGTGATTTTGACATGGTTTCACATGGCACACAAACTATGTGTTAGGTTACCTTTGATGAGCATAGCCCTCTGGCCATTCCTGCCACATCCACAATATAATAACAGTTTCAGCAAACAAAATTATGAAATTATTTCTGGTTCCAACTCGGATTCAGGAAAGGAACCCACTAATTCTGGTTTTATATGACAAATCTTGACAAAACACAATGTTTGCCCCTCAGCAACCTGTCAGATGACGTAATTCTGGAATGATTAATTGGTTCAGCGGTTTAAAAGTTATGTGGGAAAGATAAGTACGGAAGGATATTACTAAGAAGTAGAAAATGGTCATCAAGGATAATGTCGGCCTCTAATGGTTAAAGAAATTTTCAAATCGGTCCTCCAATATTCTAATATTCCATCCAGTGCATGTTTACTTTTGATTCAGGGCCTTAAGCCGATCTATAGGTCAATTTTAAAACTCCCCATCCTTAATATCTCCCTTCAAGTGAATAATATGCATAAGAATAAGAATTTTATTATCAGGGGGGACACTGAATGAATATTTTTGAACCTCATGGGTCAACCCCCTAGGAGGGGTAGATGTTACCCTTAGAATATGAATAGGGAAGGAATTCTCTTTTCAACGGTACCTACCTTACTTCACTATTTTTTGATGAGTAGTTTGTGACCGTTCTAAACTCACAGAAGTGATTAGAACTTGACTTCACTCAGATGCATTGTTTTCAGGCATAATATAGGAAGGTTATAAATAAAAACAATTGATACTTCCAACTTCAACATCCTGTATCTCAAATACGAAGCAAGTTAGGACACATGCATATGCGAACTTTATTTGCTAGAATACCGTAAGGAATCCCCCCTTGAATTTTTAGATACACCCTGTATATTGTCGCTATATTTGTGGAATAATTGACGTATTCTAGTATACCGGTAGAAGTGAAGGTCAATGGACAGGTACGATACAGTCAATGTCTTTATATCGATAATCAGTCGGGAAGAACTCCTTGCCAAAATGGATGGATCTATGATGACACCATTACGAACTCAGTAGTATCTGAGGTAAGGTCTTCATCATCATCAACAAACAATCTCATTTCTATTATGTAAAATAACCTCCATCTTTGTCTCCCTCAGCTTTGTAATTTTTTGGTAAAAAATTAACACGTCAAATTTTTCATATGTTAAATTTATTTTTTGTTCGACTGTTTGAAGTTTTCAGCATAATGAATGATGCAACTTGAATATAATCAAACAACAATACAACTTCAAGAATTTTGCTTGAGAATGATAGTACGATATTTTGTTCCATAGTGGGATCTAGTTTGTGATAAAGACTTCCTCGTGACCCTAGCACTAGTACTGTTTGGTACTAGTGGACTAATAGGCAACAGCTTTTTTGGCTACATTCAAGATGGAATGGGTAGAAAACCTGCATATTTCATATACCTCCTCATCCAATGCATCTTCGGTATAGCTACAGCGTTTGCAAAAAGCTATACAATATGGACTATATTCCGAGTTGGGGTCGGTTTTACTATACCAGCTATACTAGGTACACCCTATGTTCTAGGTAAAATGAGAATCATAGAGTATAAGTGAGCATCTTTCAAAATAACCGAATGTTTTCTAGCTATAGAACTGGTGGGCCCATCAGAAAGGACAGTGGTTACCATCCTCATCAACATCGCATATTCCCTGTCGCTAGTATCGTTATCTATCATAGTCTGGGCTATCAGAGATTGGAGGTGGATGGCTCTTACAACAACATTACCATTCCTGCTTCTTTTTCTATCTTGGCCCCTATTGCCTGAAAGCCCCAGATGGCTCTTATCCCAAGAGAGATATGAAGAGGCAGAAAAGATACTTTTGCAGATGGCTAGGTAGGAATGAAGTGATCTGTTCATTCATGATATCTCTGAGTGAGTCAGAATTGAATCGACAAACTCCGTACACGGATTTTGATTTTCAGAATCAATGGGAAGAATGTTCCTACAGATTTCCTGAGCAAGTACAAGCTGAAGAAAGTCGACCAGCTCAAAAATAGGAACTACGGAGTTCGAGACCTCTTCAGATCCAAGAACCTCCGCTGGAAGACCATCATCATCACGTTCCTCTGGTTCGCCAACACCAGCGTCTACGTCGGATTGTCGTACTATGCGCCCTCTCTAGGTGGAGACGAGTTCCTCAATTTCTTCCTCGCTGGGGCAGTGGAATTGCCCACTTATTTGTTCCTGTGGCCTTCGATGGACAGGCTGGGCAGGAGGTGGACACTCTGTATCAGCATGATTATAGGAGGGACGTCCTGTTTGGCCACGTTTTTGGTGCAGAATGGTAGGTGATTCACAGAACCACAACGATCCTAACCTATTTAGCCCTACCCTGAAAGCTGGCAATGCTAGATTACGAATTCTGAAAGTCCTACTCACCATACGTTATGCCTTTAGTGCCCAACCTAAGTAAAATTAATATATCATTCAATTTGACAAATATGTTCAACTAGAACCTATGAATTTTTCGAATTTTTTCGGTTGACAAAATTAAATTTTTGAAATTTTGGACGCAAAAGTACCGTCAGTAATGAATTGTATGAAAATGTAACATATTTATTCGAATGTATGAAAAGGCACATCATGTTACATATAAGGCAACAAAGCTATTGCAAGCACAACATATAGAATTTTTTTTCAAATTTGATGGTATTCCATGAAACAATTGTTTTTTCTAGCGTGAGAAAAATCCCACTTCTCAAGACTCATTTTCATGTTGAAAGAGTCAAAATGCTTTTATCTAGGAGTGAATCTTGTACGAGAATATTATAAGTTAAAGCAACTCTATCTGTCAGGGGTGAATCGTACAGCCATTTGATTTTCCGCTGGTTCATTGTGTTTTTAGTTCCTGACGGTACTTTCGGGTCAGATGACAAATAGTTTTTTATTATACAAGGGAAATAAGTATTAGATTTTAGCTCTAGGTTGTGTGAAAACTGTGAGCTGAAATCCAATATTTTTCCCGTGTATAATACACTATTTTTTTCTGTGACAGAAGAAAGGACGAATCAATATTGAGAAGAAATTACATTATTTTGAAATCTGAAAATTATCGACGTGAAATTTTTAGTTTTTAACAGTAGGGACACCTGCGTTGTAGGCATCTTTATCATTCCTTTGAAGTAATCAAATATCTGATGTCACTTCTGTCAGTCTAATTATGTGATTTGATTTCAAAAATTGTGAATTTAGTGGTTGTGTTGTAGTAATATACGTAACCGCGAAGTCGAATGAAAGATAAAAGGATTTGCAGTTCTTTCTCGGAGACGGTATCATTGACTTATTTTTCGGAACTATAGTACAACAAAAGCCATCAACAGGGTATATACAGTATGATGCAAATGTATGGAATAAATTCATTATTTCAGAAATGGGCGACATTCGAAAAAATTCCAAAAACATGTGAGTTTTAATTTCTGAAGCCTCATCTCATGATATTCATATGAGAGATGTTACGTCACCGGTGTTGGAGTAAAGACGTAATGGACGATTTTTTCAAATACAAATAGGGGTCATGTGACACCTTGATTGAAAGGTCTACCGATCGTCTATTCAACAGTCAAAATGTTGCATAAGAAGATTGAAATTAAAATGGATTATCATGTGATTAATTGAATCTTGCAGAGGTCTGCTACTGAGAATTGAACATCGAAGGGTCGTCTAGTTAAAAAAATACGTCGAAAAAAAAGTTCTAAACTCTAGTTTTTGGTTTTTTTCGAAAGTCGTCTTGTTTTGAAATGAATTTATTCCATACATTTGCATCATACTGTATATATGATATATATCCAGGAAGAAAGTAGGTACTCATTTTTTCCCACAGGAAAAAAGTAATTTATGGAAAGTGACATTTTATAACCTGCCAACAGAGATGATATGCCAAACTTTTTTCCCGTCACAGAAAAAAAAGACATATTTTCATAAGAATAACTGTGATTTGTAGTGACTAATTATTTCCTTCTAATGATGAAGTATAATGTGATTGTTTTTGATGATCACCATGAGTATGGAACGTCAAGACCATGTCAGGACTGAATCTGCTCCAAACGATATAATGTATTTCAAAACGAAGAGAGAAATGAAAGAAACTCAAAAGTACCGTTAGGCACTGAAGGGTTATATCAAGCGTGATAGGTCTTCGTTTGAATATGAACTTTTTCATATAGAAGAAATAGGAATTATATATTGTTTTCATCTTCATTGTCATAAATTTGAACTTTGGACTTATTGTCAATGGAGGTATTACCCAAGAACTCATAAAGGTAAAAAAATCCATATACTTTCTCTTATTCCTATCCTTCCTAGGTAGTACGATATTCCTCGAACTGAAAGTTTTCATCGGTCAAATTATTGACAGATCTAATGATCTAACTTTTTGTTCTTTCGCCTGGCCCTCGGTTTGAAGTGAATTGATTTCAAATCCATTTCAAGTCCATCTCCAAATAAAACTTGGACCTGCATTTCATTGGAAACTTATTGAGCATCAATGTGGAAAAAAAACGAATTCAATACTCTTACTTCAACTATACTAGAGACCAACAAAGTGAAAATATTTTGAAAATCCATAAAACACAATGTTTCGATCATACAAATTGCAGTTGTGCATCTATAAATAGAACTGACAAAATAAAGTAACTAGGAGTCTCAGTGGACCAATGCGATGGAATCATAATATTGAACACACATTAATGAGACTTCGTAAATTGATTTATAAATTCTATCAGCTCCAGTGGCGGCTCGTGACTTCCATGACAGAGGAGGCTGAATGCTATGAGATTTATTGTGAAAAACAACTCTCTACGACTCACCCAAATCAATAGCTTTAATGACATTTTGTTTACCAGTTAACCTGAACTTAATACTTGAAGAAGTGTGTTCCTGTGATTTGCAGTGTCTATCCAATCCGTGAGGAAAATTTTTCAAATCATTGTATCCTAATCGCCCCCAACATGATGACTTATCGGTTGACAATAATACGCAGTACGAAAAAAATTTGCTTATTCCTTACCTCAGATCCCGTCAACCAGATATATTTTTTATAATTATCAGAATTGAACGAACGATTAACGATTTCTGTTTGTTACCTGTTACAATCAGATATCAGATTTTTTAAATTCCGGTGTCGGACGTTTGTTTTTCATCATCAATTCATCTTCATAAGACAAAGCACTGAATGGGTTCACCAAAAAGTATTCCACTAAATCGCAATCGTTTGAAACACTCATTTTTCAGAAATTTATTGAGCTCCTAACCATTAACCTAACATAAACAATGCACTCGCGATTGTCCGCGACGAGACACGACCACGACAAACACGTGCTATTCGGGCGTATTCGGGCATTTGCATTGCGCGCTAGGGGTGCGCATTCTGATGGAGTCTAGCCTCCTATAGATGTTGCCAAGTTGAATATTTTACGCGTGATGCCAATTTAAAAATATTTACCTAGACAGGAAATAAAATCAAAATCCATGTATTTTGGTGTCCTTTTAATGAGAAAGTATAGACAATATCAGTTTAAGAATACGAATCTCTGAGGAGGCTCAGCCTCCGTTGCCTCCTCTGAGGAGCCGCCACTGATCAGCTCAGGAATATATTGAACGAGCAAATAATGTTAGCGGTGTATGATGCCCTGGCTGATTATGATAAAAAAAATTCGTCGGTACAGCACTCAGTCTCGCTATGATGGAACTGGAATATTTAGTATTAGAAAACTTTCATGCATTTCATTGTCTACTAAGGACTGCCAACTCCTCGATATCTTTCGTAAACCATGCTCACTACACTCGTACATCAAATCAGACCATGAATGTCCCTCGCTGTGGGTTTACTCCTAATCAAAAGATTATATCATATCTAGGACCAAAACTATGCATTGCAATGCCCACATCACTGAAACATGTACCGAAAAAATGAAGATTCAAAATAGGATTGAAAAGATTTGTGAAAAACAATTACGAAATGCTGCAATTGATTCTGGACAAATGAACACTTCTTGAAAGCTCTCTGCAAATATCGTATATCTGTATCCCTCCTCTTTTCTTCTCTTTGCTTCCTGTCTCTATATCTCTTCATTCACTCCCTATCTCGTTTGACATAAACAACACTCTGTATTTTATTGCATTTTTAGATTCTCACTGAAAAGCTGATTTCATCAATGTATCACACTTGGGGTCTAGCAGGAATGATTACAGAGATATAGGGTGTTCAAAATCGAGATTTTACAACTTTAGGATTTTTTTGAGTCGAAACTATTCATTATTGGTCAAAACGGCTCTTATGTCCCTATCTCAACTTTTGATTTACTATCTACTGACATTTATTTGAAACAAATACAGGGTGGTTCAAGATTCAGACTTTTGATGAAAATATTTTAGAACCACGTCCCCCTCGAAAATAAAATCGACCTGTCTTTTCGTTTTTCCATATTATCGACTTGGAGGGAGATATTATAAGGGTGGGAAGTTTTCAAATTGACACCCTGTATAGTCATGATATACTTGTATGATTAGGATGACTAAATTTGTGCATAGGCTACAATACAAGCTTATTTAGGTAGCAGCAATTTTCCAGCAGTTTTTCCCATTACTCATATCAATTTTGTAAATTGCAATTTTGTAATATGTCTGTCTATATCTGAATTAAATGAATTACATACTATACCACCTCATACTGTAATAATGAAAACAATTTTTCTTATGCAGATCATATCACTACCCTAACACTATACTGCATAGGAAAAATGGGCATTTCGTCATCTTTCGTAGTCCTACCTTTGATGGCCTCGGAATTATATCCCACAGTGGTCCGAGGACTCGGTATGAGCTTGAGTTCCGTCGTTGGAATGCTTGGACCCATTTTTATACCTCTAGTGAATTATCTGGTAAGATATTTCGAAAATTAAATCATCTGATTATATTACTCCAATCTCCTTATATGTGATGGAAATACTTGGTAATTGAAGAAACTTCACAAACTTTGAATTTCCAAAAAATTGAGGTTAATTAATTGTGAGTCCGAGTGTTTTGTGTGAAGCAAACATGTGTTGACGAGTTCACGAAATTTTTTTGAAAATATTTCGAATGTCTTTATTCCTTTGTATTTTTTGAAGTCGTATCTTATTTTCTTATGATTCGACGTACTTATATAAAAGGCTGTAACTCCGCCATCATGTCCATGATGGTTTAATCAACAATTCCATTTGTTCATATGTGAATAACTCTGATGAAGACAGAAAATCTATTTTTTATGAAATTTGTATAGCAGGTGAAACTAACCATAAACAAAAAAATTGTATACGTAACCAAATTGTAGCAAAAAAACTTCAGTCAAGACATATACCCGAAATCGAGTTTATACGAACAATTTAACTTTTCCCTATTTCAATTTTCTTGAGGAAAGAAAAACTTTCTCTGTGGCATAAGTAAATAAAATCTTGCAAGCGTTGCTCGTGTTGAGGTTTATTCTCATTTAAATTATAATCCCAAACGAAATAACAGGCACGTGAGTCTGCTATTGACGTACAGAGGGTGATCGTTCATTTTGAGGCAGACTTGCTAATTTCCGGAATACATTCAAAACCTGCATTCGAATGTCTATGACATTCATCACTGTTCGACAAAATTGAGTTCACAATAATTATTTCAAGTACATACATTTTTCATTGCAAATTCATTGGCATTGATGGTGATTTTTTGTATAAAGAAATTGAACACTACACTGTTTTACCTCTAACCAAACCGATTTTTTAACGCCTCGACACGTGTTCCGCTAACTATGTTAGCATCTTCAGGAGAAGAGTTTTAATCTTCTCCTGAAGATGCTAACATAGTTAGCGAAACACGTGTCGAGGCGTTAAAAAATCGGTTTGGTTAGTGGTAAAACAGTGTAGTGTATTATCGTGCCAAAGGTTCCAGTCTTCGATATATAAAGAAATTGTATTTGATTCATATAACTTATACATTCGCTTATACAATCATATATTTCACCAAGCGGTATATATGGAGTTAAGAGTTTTACGGAAGCCTATTTGTGATTATTTTGATTCTTGTATTCCTGGATTTGTTGTCTTCATACCTATTTTGATTTGTTGATCATTGATTAGGATTTATCCCGTGGTATAAGCCAGTCAACAGAAGAAATTAATAGTAATTACTTCAACAATTCTTCTGGATCTACCACATCTGGATATTGATATCAATGTGAAGACAAGGATTGTGGTCCAACGCCTGAAATTCAATAGAAACTTGAAACTCATGTACTGATATGTGCACAACAAAAAGCACCTTGTGCTGAATATGAAAAGCGGTGTTATTATGGATCGTTCACTGGATGGACAAACCATTATCCTCTACTATAAAGTGAAGGAATAGAATCGAGAGAAAGAGATATATTGTTGGAATGGTCTAACGTGGTACACTGACGATGACCATTTTTTGTATCAAGGTCAAATGAAAAATAGTTATTTATTATACAAGGGAAAAAAGTAGTAGATTTTAGCTCCAGGTTGTGTTGTCTCCCGACGCGTAGCGGAGGGAGACAAAAAACCGTGAGCTAAAATCTAATATTTTTTCCGTGTATAATACACTATTTTTTTCTGTGACAGAAGGAAGGACGAATCAATATTGAGAAGATATTCCATTATTTCGAAATCTGAAAATTAGCGACGTGAAATTTCAAGTTTTTAACAGTATAGGGACACCTGCGTTTTATAGACATCTTTATCATTCTTTTGAAGTAATCAAATATCTGATGTCACTTCTGTCAGTTCAATTCTGTGATTTGATTTTAAAAAATTGCGAATTAGTAGTTGTTTAGTAATATACGAAACCGTGAAGTCGAATGGAAGATAAAAGGACTTGCAGTTCTTTCTCGGAGACGGTATTATTGACTCATTTTTCGGAACTATAGCACAACAAAAGCCATTAACAGAGTATATATATGTGATATATATCCGGGAAAGAAGTACTCACTTTTTTCCCACGGGAAAAAAGTAATTTATGAAAAGTGACATTTTAAAACCTGCCAACAGAGATGAAATGCCAAACTTTTTTCCCGTCACAGAAAAATAGTTATTTATTATACAAGGGAAAAAAGTAGTAGATTTTAGCTCCAGGTTGTGAGCTAAAATCTAATATTTTTCCCGTGTATAATACACTATTTTTTTCTGTGACAGAAGGAAGGACGAATCAATATTGAGAAGATATTACATTATTTTGAAATCTGAAAATTATCGACGTGAAATTTCAAGTTTTTAACAGTAGGGTCACCGCGTTGTAGGCATCTTTATCATTCATTTGAAGTAATCAAATATCTGATGTCACTTCTGTCAGTCTAATTCTGTAATTTGATTTCAAAAAATTGCGAATTTTGTGATTGTTTAGTAATATTCGTAACCACGAAGTCGAATGGAAGATAAAAGGACTTGCAGTTCTTCCTGAGAGACGGTATTATTGACTCATTTTTCGGAACTATAGCACAACAAAAGCCATCAACAGTGTGTATATATATATAATATATATCCGGGAAAAAAGTACTCACTTTTTCCCCACGGGAAAAAAGTAATTTATGAAAAGTGACATTTTATAACCCGCCAACAGGGATGAAATGCCAAACTTTTTTCCCGTCACAGAAAAAATGATATTATATCATAAAGAGAACAATAAATTTGAAAAATGTTCACTCATTATAAAACGCCAGATAAATAGGACACAAAGAATACCATATTATACAACAAAAAATTCCTATAATTCCAGAATCAAGATTTTTTCTTACAAGCTATACTCAAAATGCATTGCCAGAAGTGCCTAGGTATTATACATACAGTGTGGAGACTTCAACTAGAGAAAAAATTCGCTAGCGAGTAGGTGAATATTTTTCCCGACATACGTCAACGATTTGAAGTATATGCCTACTTGTATGCAAGCAATATCAAGAATATATATCCTTTCAAAGGTAGCTGAAACCACTGAGAACATTTTTTTTTTTCATATGCAACTCTACCGCTTGTGACCACTGATTGCAAAGATGGTGGAAAGAGGAATCTCTGGTCGAATTTATGTTTTTTTTTCGTTTATGGGTTGCATAAAATTGAAATGTAATTTTAAAATTCAATTCATTTTCAACGTAACAATTGCTCAGAATATTTGTTGAGCAATTGATGGCAGTTTTTTGCCACAACTGCTATCTGTTATTGAATTACACTGTTTTTATAGAGCCGCAAAAAGAAATGCCGTAATCACAGATCGAAACGAAGTGTTTTTGCAAACTGGTAAAAATGCCTTATATCACTGTCACTGAAAATCAGAATTTCGTTGAAAATACGTTGAAATTATATTAGACTTTGAAATTATATTTTAGTTTCATGGGACCCCGAAACTAAAATTTGATCAGTACGCTAGATTCCGCTTTCAACAAGCTTTCCAATAAGGGTCGCAATGCATACGGTTGCATTTCAGAAAAGTTTGCTGGGGTTGATTCCAACTACCCCTGAAGGGTTATCATCTTCATATTGCTCGGAAAATGTAGGTAAATACATTTGAACGTTGACGTGTGATACCTTTTTTGCAGGGTTCGGATATTCCAACTACCCCTGAAGGGTTATCATCTTCATATTGCTCGGAAAATGTAGGTAAATACATTTAAACGTTGACGTGTCTCACGAATTTTCAGGAAAATCATTCACGTTCCCGGTCGCGGATTTGTTCCAGTTAAAGTATCCACCCTGTATATTAGTTCTAATATGGTAAATTTCCTTTATATTGATTCAAAGAATGAGTAGGTATTAGTTTTTGTACCTTTCTGAAATCGATATGCATCCTATACTTGCCTGTGTTTTTTTTTATTTAATACTATTTCATGTTTGAAATAAGAAATCTTTTTTCGTAACTGTGCCTTCCTCTAATGTTTATTTTTTGAACGGGTCACCTCAAAAAATTTAAACTTGGGTTGGGACAATTACATTGAGGCATAAATACTATATTGTGGAGTAAAATTGACAGATGACTGGGTGCCATCTGGGAAAGATAAATCATCCTTTTGAAGCTCCTGACGAATATTTCACAACCCTAGAACATGAAGTGAAAATCTTCTCCTATAGGTACTACAAAATGGCGGAACATTTAATAATTGCCTGAATACATTTACTCCATAATTTGAGGATGCTTGAAATGGTTGCCTTGAACTGCTTCACATAAGAACGGCCTTTCCGATATTCCTCGCGGAACAGTTAGAACACAGTTACGTCGATAGTTCTAAAAATATTATTATTATTCCCTGCCAGATCTCCATTATTGAAGCAGGTTCAGTTTCGTACACCTTTTGATTGAAATAATCCTATAGAAAAAGTCTAAAGGTGTCAAATCTGGCGATTCCGTAGGACCTCGACGTCCAATCCAACAACCGGAGGATGTATTACCCAAACAGTTTCTTACTTGTCTGGATTAATGTAGTGGAGCTCCATCAATATTACTCCAAAATATAGTATTCATGCATCGATTTCGTTATCCCAAGTTTAAATTTTTGGAGTTGACCCGTTCAGAAAATAAACGGGGGAGCAGCATTAAAGAAAAGGACTGTATGAATACTTACCTAAATTGTTTTCACTCTTGGAACGAAAAGCACTTTGGGTACTATTATCTCCAACTATTCTCCATGTATTACTGTCGGCAGCGTCTATAAATCTTCACAAAAACTCTAATGGCTGAGGTGTTTTTGTATTTGGTTCATTTTTCAAGGAAATAGGGCATTATCCGTCCTGTCTTTCATTGCTCTGATTCTGATTTTCCACGTAAAAGAAAAAAATGACCTATCTGATATCTCATCAGCTCATTACTGCCTTCGTGACACTAACGAATACTCATGCATTATTGCATCCTTCTTTATACAGAGTGATTCCACATATTTCAAGAAGAACCAGAAATATTAAGTTTTTTTTTTCATTTATTCACAGGTGTACGTATAATACAAATTATTGATAAATTAGGAATCGCTGATATCAAAAAAAAAATGAGTAATACTAACATCGATTATAAAAGAAACATGATTAATTTGATCAAACACTGAATAATTGGCGCTTGAGCTGAGATAATGAGAGAAAAAATATGTCAATACATTGCAAGTTATTGTAACTTCGACACATTGTTGTAAAAGGACAATGAAAATGATGTTGACAGTTAGGTACAACTATGCGAAATGTTATATTAGATCTCGACACCGAACGAGGTACATTAAAATCAATCATTGAAAGTAAAGAGGATGAATCAATATGGTATATAAAAGTTAAATCAACAATCTCACGATGCTTCCTCAAAGAAATTAAATTGAATTCGTTCAGTAATGAGTCATAGCTATGATGTTTTTTAAAAACGCGACTTTCAAAAACTTACTTTGCACAGTTTCTATACTCTCTTTATATTTGTCATGACAGTTGAGAATTTGCAGATGGAAATATATGTATGCACATGATATCATTCTGAATATTCAACAGAAAACAACCACTGTCCTGGCTATTTATTCATATATTCAAAGATATTCATTGTTGTAATGATTCGACTAATAATGACGATTGATAAAATCTATGCCGAATAATGCTCGTTATGTCGAACTTTCGAAAAATATTGGTTGATAACCTTTTTTGCAGGGTTCGGATATGCTGATTTTACCTTTGATAATTATGGGGACGCTGCTGATAACAGGTGGAACTTTATCACTTCTATTACCTGAGACTCTTCACCAGCATCTCCCTCAGACTTTGCAAGATGCAGAAAAATCACCGCTCGACTGTTTCTCCTTTTGTTCCACACCAATCAAAAATAAACAAGATTTTTCCATTTTTGAAACCACTTTGTAAAACTGTATTTTTATTAAATTATATATGATAATTTTGAACTCGTATTTTGATCAGTGACTATTGAAAATTGAAACAGAGAACTGACATACAAGAGGTGTGTCATTTTAATATTGCGAAAGAATTATAGGATCCAGTATAAATAGACTGCGTGGGAAATACTTACACTTTATAAGAAAGAAGTTGACAAAAAACTTGTTGAGTACTCATGTAGGTACTTACCAAATATCCCACACCAACCAATGGAACCAAATTTGCCCTGCAAATTTGATTCTTTGATAGCATGCCGATTCTTTTGTGCATATACAGGGTGAGTCATAACTATTGGGACAGGCTGAGGGCGGATTGTTAGGACCAAAATATGGCGATTGGACCAAACATGCCTCAATAAAATATTGCTGTGGAAAGAGATACAGGGCGTTAATGTTGATTTTTTTCGTTTTTTGACGGTTTTTTGCTAATAATTTCACTGTATATGGAATATATTTGAAGAAGTTTTGTGATTTGGTTGCTTTCTGTCTAGATATTAGATATATTACAATTCATACTTTCTGGTTGCATCCCGCATTTATCTATTCATAAAATGATTGTGACGAGGCATTTCGCTCGAAAAAATGTTGACTATAAACTCGCATCAAAATTCATTCTCTGACAAGAAATGCCATTACCAGCAACATTATCTGACAGTTCAGAGCACACTCTTCATGAATGAAATAATATTTGTAATAAACTTCTGAGACTCTGAACTGTTCAATAGCGTTTTTCTCAAAAACGGATGAAAATATCGTGTTCCAACAGGAGTACCAATATTACGTAGAAATGATGTTTAGGTCGTATTTTTCAATCAAAATCACTCAAAAGTTTCGTCAAAAAAAGTAACCAGGCGATTTCATCATCAAGAATAATTCACGTAGCACCCCCTGTATCAAAATGTAGAATAGTTTATAGAATAATAATCCCTGTATCAAATTATGCCTCTGTGCCAATTTTGATAACAATTGATGAATATAGGTACAGTGAAATTATTGGCAAAAAACCAAAATGAAAAGTCAACTTCAACGCCCTGTATCTTTTTCCACAGCAATATTCTATAGCCCTTAGCCTATGTCCCAATAGTTATGACTCACCCTGTATATTAATGAAGCTTGCACTAAATTTATTCGTATTCAAAAATAAGCAAAATAATTCAACCAAATTATTTGGAGATATTGGACTTAAGTTCAGTATGAGAACAGAAAAAAAGGAAAAAATCGTGGAGTGCAAATTTTTGTAGAGTGGTAGGGTAGTACCATGAACACCATACTAGAAGTCCTGACCCGTAGGAACGAGCGTGGCGGTAGAGGAGAGTTTGAGAGTAATTTTTTCAAGCTATTCTTGAATAATTCGAATATTGCGAATATCCCAAATGATCAAGTGGAATGAATTAAATTCTATTCTTGATACTTCCCGATTTTTTCATCCCCTATCTCTGAAACTATATTAATTGTAGACGAAAACTGAATGAAACCTCTTTTATTGGAAATGTCATGTTGTTCAATTTTGAAAACATATATTTTTCCGCTAGAGGCTGCTATTATCGATTTATTCAAGAATAACTTGAAAATATGACCTTCAAACGCTCCCCTACCGTAACGCTCATCCCCTACGGGTCAGAACTTTTAGTATGTTTTTCATGACACTTTCCACTACCACTGTACGAAAATTTGCGACTTTACGACCTTTTTCGGCGATCCTTGATTGAACTACTTCTTTTTTACATCATTTTCGAACCTACTCATGAACAAGAGGCAGCAAATGGTGATAGATTATCACCCATTGCAGTACCTTCATGTTGTCAAAAGAATTTTATGATTGGAACAATATTGGAACACTAGGAAACAATGGGCGTGTACACCTTGGTAGAACTTTCAACTCAAACCATGTTTATAATGATCCTTTCATACATAAATAATGATTGACGACATAATTCGATCGAAAAATTTACTGGAATGTTCAATTTTTGGACATAAATAATAGTACCATCTGAAAACGGACCCTCTTATGACGTAGAAACCTCATCTCGCCATAGTTAAAAGAAAATACCAAACGCCGGACGGAGACTGAGGCAACTGATATATTAATTCTTTCAACTGTGATCTCGCACTAATTTACTCTGCCAGAAATCATGTATCATTCATCTCTGTCTGGAATAGTCCTGTTTCAGTATTAGGGTTTTGACGTCACATCATCGCCTCGTTTTCAGAGGTCCGAAATATCGGGGATTTCAATAATTTTTTATAAAACGTAGGGAGCTCACAGCGATAAACGGTTTGCGGTGGTGAGCTAGTTTGGGTGAGTTCTATCGAATTATGGAATAACAATTTTTTGTGATATAAGCCCATTACGTTACGTCAAAAAAACAGTATTTCACTTTCTTCAAGTGAATTATATTGAGTTATTGAGCTCATTTATTAGCCATTCAGACAACTGGTGAGTGGGTGAGTAGATGTCACTAGGAATGAAATTTGATGATGATATCAAGTATGAAAAATATATTATGATGTTCATAAGTTGGAGGTCTTATCTTGAAGATTTTCGATTTTCAACAAAAGAGAGATTTGAAAGATCCCTAAAATCAGTCGTTTTTCCATAATATAATCAATAGTTCCAGTTTGTCTTGAATGAATCGAAAATGAATGAAGCTAGCGCGGATTTCTCCACAGATTCTGAATCACGAAGGAATTCTCTGGTTGTACGCACAATGTATACAATAACCTCTGTCGAATAATATACAGGAAAGTAGGGCACGTATTTAGTATAGATACGAAAAAACACACTATAAATATCTCTGTATCTGCTGTTAATGAAAAAAAAAATAGGTATACGAAAGTGAAGAAAATGATGATGTATACTGTAACAAGAATATATTTCATCGACTCGATATATATTACACTCTTAAAAACTAAAGTTAGAACTTAAAACTACTATCTCACAAACGCAACTCCTATCAACTATCATTCAAAGTTATAGATATAGCTATACTAAGTGAAGGTATATAATTTTACACATTCAGGGTAAAAGGCAAACAAACGAAAAGAAACCTGAAATTATTCTAAAATAACGGTTAAGGAGAACTACACTGTAAAAAATAATGATTTACTCTCGAATAGATTTGAATTTCAAAAAAAGTTTTTCAGATTGAATGGCCCATTCGTTTGTCCACCCTATACGATGCTGATGCCTGGTTAAATGGCACTAAATGATCGACCTCCCCAGGAAATTGTTCGAAGTTTCAAAACTAATATTTTAAACTAATGAAACAGTTGAATTGCTTAGCTATACCTGTTATTAAAAACAATTCAGTCGTTCTTAAAACATATTCTCCAAATAAAATAATCCGCATTTGCTAACACCCCTAGACGATTTGAACAGTTGAAAAAAAACATGAGGAATGTTGTTTTATCCAGTTTGTCAAGAGAGGTTAGCTGAAGAAAAGATGAAATCTCAGTTGGAAAAAATTCGAGTAGAATATTTTCCGCTAGACATTGGAAACTACACGAGCATCGAAAGATACATTTGTGTAGACGTGACACTTTGAAAATGCCTAGGTTATTTCTTCAAATTTCAATAATACATGAAGAAATTTCTGTCAAATGAGGCAGACATTCATATCAACAGGAATAAATAAATCGAATAAATAGTTTATAATATATACATACATAGCAAAGGATGGGTCAGGAATTTAAAAAATACCCAATATTCCAAAGTATTTTGTCAAAGCCCTAAAGATTCACTTTGCAACTAATAGTTGATTCTTGCATTCAAAGACATGCAATTGTGATAGCTATCAGAATGTGAAATCCATGTTTCATAGCAATTCTTCGGAATTGTTGTTATCTATATTTTTATTTTCAATATTGGATTCATCATCTTATTTCGATGAAGTTTGAAATACTCGAAAGACATTGAACATTCGACTTCATAAACTTTGGTCAATTATAACGGTATTATAATCGTTAACAGTGGATTTCATTTGTTTGTCATAAATATAAATACCCACATGAGAACTCTCATACCCCACGAATAAATGGAAATTCGAAACAATATCTGAAACAAAGAATGATTGACTAAATACAGACTATATAATCAAGTTGTCAAACAATTGATGATACTATTATTCTTCGTTTTACTACCATGAACAAGTAGGTATAAGAACGTGAAAACTTATATCGAATAAATGATCCGGCGTTAATGCACCAAATAAAGTATATTCCATATTTAATTATGACACTCAAATCTCTCGAACCACCCTGTATCTGTTCCGATTAAATATCAGTAAATAGTGAATCAAAAGTTGAGATAGGGATATGTGAGCCGTTTTGACGGATAATAAATAGTTTCGACACAAAAAAATCCTAAAGTTGAAAAATTTCGATTTTGAACACCCCATGTCTCTGTAATCATTTTCGATAGACCCTGAGCGGGATATATCTGAGAATCTGAAAATGCGATAAACGACAGGGTGTTCCATTTGAAATATCATTGTTGCTACTACTTACTGGTAGAGGCGGCAACACTGCATCGTCCAAAATATTTTAAATGAAGAGAGCGTATTCTGAAATATGTGCATGCACATTTTCATGGAATTCTCCCGAAAGATTCTCGATGTAAAGATAGTGTAAGCTCGTCATGACATACCCTGTATAAGCCAGGTGTTGAACGCCAGACGACAATGTTGCGATTTCTGACGTTTTACAGCTGCCTAAGAGAGGGGCCACACGAGCGTTTATGCAACGCACGTTAAAACGGACGTTATTAAGGCTACGTTCAGCGGCAGGTCTGGACCACCGTAGTCGGACCACAACAAGAATAAGAGTTCTGAACGACATCGGTCCATGGTTTCGTATCTGTATATAGTATCTGTCAAAGTTGTCATGAGACAACCCATTTGATATTTGATGTGATTTGAAATTTTAGTGGCTAGAGTGATTTTAGAACGACTATCGAGAATCTGAAGAGCAAAGTACCTAAGATATTCATTGTGTAAATTGTATTCCTCTGCAACAGACTCCTTTTCACAACAGCATGGATCTTGATGAAGAATTTGCAAATATTTATGATATATATATATATATATAATGGTATTAAGAATGAATGATATGAAGTTTCAAATTATTTATAGTGTTAAACATATTTTAGATTATGTTGAAAAAAAACAGAATGTAATAGTTGTATTATTTATCATTACTGAACAAGTATGAAAATTCATTGGCATGTTCACAACAATAGAGATCAGTCCTGGTGGAAGTTTCATCAAAACTGGTGAGGGAGGTCTATAGGTAGCATCTATATGTTATTATCAGATTCATTCCTGTTACTGGGAATAAGTTAGTTGATATGGTTTGGAGAATGATTGAAGACATTTTTATGTTTTGTTCCAAAATGACCACTCTTAGTTTCTTTCAGATCCATTAATCACAGGTTTTACATTTTGGTGCAATGTATAATCAGTGAATTCTGTGAGGGTATTACATATGCTTCACAAAAAATATGGAATCGATTTCCCCTGAAAGTTAAGAAAATTATATAAAACACTGAATAGATGAAAAAATAAAAGAAATTACCTTTATAATCTGTTTCTAAGAAATATCTGCTACAGACAGACGTACATTTGGGAATGTGCTACCATTTTTTGATATGTTTCTGCCACATTTTGTATGATTATGCATCTGGTTGAAAATCTGTGAATCGATACTCTGTGTATCTTCATACTGTTTAAACTGCGGCACAATGCATTATCTCTTGAACTTGCTGGCCATCATGTTATCTCACCCGCGAAGAAATTCGTTCAAATTCAAATTTATTTGCATGTCATAAATTCATGTCGAATATAACTGACGTTTCCTGACGGAAACAATGGACTGAACGATTTGGACCATGCTGGGCCTAATTTTAAATGAGACTACGTGGACCACGGTCTGGTCCATAGTCTGACTACGGTCTGAACGGATTGAGACGAATTGACCATGGTCCGACCTGCCGCTGAACGTAGCCGAACGCGCGACAAATCTTGCGGCCACACGAGCGTTCAGTTACGAGCGTCAGTTTGTTGAGTATACATGTGACAGTCATGGAAGGTCCGCAGGATGTTGCCGCATTTCTGATTTTATACCTAGATCTAAGTAAGAAAAAGCAGGCTAGGAAAAAACGTAAATGGTGGGTTCATCCCATAAACCGTGAAAGATTCTTAAGTGGATCATTTTATACTCTCTATCCTCTCAAGCTGTAGTTTTTTCATTCCGGTCCTTGTACTCTTCAGTAGAAGTATCCCAAAGCACGGGACGTTTTTGAACACTTCTACATCCATGTTTGATATAATGAATCAAAAACAAGTCCAAAACATACGATAACAACGTCTACGATAGTCTACGATGTCTACGATTCGGAAAACTCAACCGACAGCTGTTGCCAGATCACAAAAATACTGCCAGTTACGTATAATCGTCAGATAGACACGCGTTAAATTGAATATCGTGTGGCTACGTATATCTGACCATGTGTTGAACAAGAACGCGCGCTGTGTCCACCAACGGACGTACTAGAGATGCTGAGCGTTGACAATGAATAACGCGCGACGAGTTGAGCGCGTGTTGGTGGTGTGACCACGCTGGTGTTATTCTACAACGCGTTACAACGTCCGTCATTTAAACGCTCGTTGGGTCCCCTCTCTTAGAGAGGGGCCACACGAGCGTTTATGCAACTCACGTTAAAACGGACGTTATTTTGGAACGCGCGACAAATCTTGCGGCCACACGAGCGTTCAGATACGAGCGTCAGTTTGTTGAGTATGCATGTGACAGTCATGGAAGGTCCGCAGGATGTTGCCGCATTTCTGATTTTATACCTAGATCTACGTAAAAAAAAGCAGGCTACGAAATAACGTAAATGGTGGGTTTATCCCATAAACAGTGAAAGGTTCTTAAGTGGATCATTTTATACTCTCTATCCTCTCAAGCTGTAGTTTTTTTATTCCGGTCCTTGTACTCTTCATTAGAAGTATCCCAAAGCACGGGACGTTTTTGGACCTCATTTATAAACATTTCTCTATCCATGTTTGATATAATGAATCAAAAACAAGTCCAAAACATACGATAACAACGTCTACGATAGTCTACGATGTCAACGATAGTCTACGATACTGACAACTCAACCGACAGCTGTTGCCAGATCACAAAAATACTGCCAGTTACGTATAATCGTCAGATAGACGCGCGTTAAATTGAATATCGTGTGGCTACGTATATCTGAACATATGTTGAACAAGAACGCGCGCTGTGGGCGTACTAGAGGTGCTGAGCGTTGACAATGAATAACGCGCGACGAGTTGAGCGCGCGTTGGTGGTGTGACCGACGCATATCACGCTGGTGTTATTCTACAACGTCCGCTACAACGCGCGTTACAACGTCCGTCATTTAAACGCTCGTGTGACCCCTCTCTTAGAATCCACACTTCCCGAAAACTGACAAAGATAACGTCAAATAATGTATATATTTGAAATCAGAAGAAAGAGCTCTACCTTCAAGAAAAATGAAATACAGACTGTTTCATTCAAAGAATACCAGAGTTCATCTGAAATTTTATGATTCACGATGATTTTTTGCATTTTCTAGTAATAGATTCTGAATGCTCTTGAAAAATACTTCACTCTTGTCATTTAAACGTTTCTGTAGGACCAATATAAACTGAAATAATCATTGAGTAAAATTAATAGCAATCGCCGGAAATTGGAAGATACTACATAGAAAACATGGTCATTTGGGAATCATATCTATCACGGAATTGTATATAGGTACGTCCAAAGAAAAAAATCCACTAATCCATCAGATGCCAACGGAATTATTGTACTTCGAAAGATGTAAACTGTGAGCCACAAATATCATGTGGCACACGCACGAATTGGGTGTCACCATCAAAAACGGTCCAAACGAAATTCGATGCAAAAACGCCCTTCCCCATCCCGACCTTCCCGCCATCCCTCCATCGGATAAACCCTTTCGAAATTCACCTACCCCTCGTACTTCACCGTTATGACCATCCAAGCCCGTCAATACCTCTTGTGCTCCCTCGGCCTCTCCCTTCTCCCATCATGATGATGATGGTGGTGGTGGTGCCGCTTCTTCTCCGCTCCATGGGCCACCTGGGCCAGATCAGGCGCATCGCGATGACCCGCCCTGTACGGCTCGTCGAGGGTCTCTTTGCGCCGCAGGGGCGAGTGGCGGTCAGGGGCGGCCTTGGGCGGCGTTTTGCCGCCCGCCGATTCGTGGAGGTTCTCCCACGCCTGGCGGTAGTAGCGATTGAGGCCGCCGTTGCGCGACTCTGAGCTCGAGGAGTCGAAGGAGGCTACGGTGTTGCAGTCCGGGGAGGCGCGGTGGCGGTGGTGTTTGGCACTTTGATTCCTGCAACGGGAGAGGATTCTAGAGGATCGATCCTCGACTACTAATAGGTTCGAGAATTGTAAGGAGTTTGCGCAGTAGTATTAGACGGAGAGCCAGAGCCAAAAAGATTCTCTGAATTCACTAAGCCTACTTTTTTCACAGTTTATTACAGTGGTTTTGTACACAAAAATTACTGCGGTCAGTCAAGAGAAACAGAACAGGTATCCCTGGTATACTATCGAAGCTGTCGTTCCTACAGAGGTAATGCAATGAATTTACTGAGGCAGAAAATCATTATACACATTGTATATTGCATATGAATGAGAGTTATGAAAGACAGTCAGCAGACTGTGGGTACGGGAGCTGGTCAGTCAGCCCCAATGTGGTTATGCAAAAAATAAATGAATTGCAATTCAATTACTACACAAAATTTTTGTGAGGATATTTGTTGATATATCAATCATGGAAAAAAGGTTAGTCATCGATTCTGCGGGACAACGTTCATGATTATTCAACGAAATCGATTGATTAGGCCATTTATTGATTATAATCCAATAGATAATATTGAACTTTCAGTATATTATAATATACATGGATTGACAAAGGTATGGAACCATGTGAATATCTCGGCAACGGTTTGTTAGATTGTTGTGAATATATCTACAGGGTGATTTCAAATTATAGCAGATTCGAAAATTTTCTCACCCATGTTACCACATTCGTGGGATGAATTAGGGAGAAGGGTGCGTTCTCGCGAGAGGTCTCCGGACAGTCTCGCAGAAATGGCAGATGCATTAGTGGAAGAATGGGATCGTATACCAATGGAAACGATAAGTATGCCTCGTAGATTAGAAGTTCTTAGAGTTGCTAGAGGAGGCAATACACGGTATCAAGCAGTCATCCCAATTTATGATTTTGTGTTTAATAAAAATGTTTTTCAAAATTATTGGTATCAGTTTATTTCATTAGGAAATTGTTTCTCGATAAATTCAGAAAGTTGGTAATCTGCAAGGATTCAGCAAAAAAAGCTGTAATTCGGAAATTTTAGAGATAAATCAATAAATAAAAAAACAAAATGCTCGCAAAAGAAGCCTCTTTCGTATAGGGTGTGAGCAGTTTCTATGCCATTACTCAACTAACACACAGTTATTCCACCACCATCAAGAAGGCTTTGAAAAAAATTTCCACCTCTTTATTTTTTTTAACGACAAATGCATTACCTTCCAACAAATAAAAAATAAATAAAAATCGACCTACTATTTTTTGTTTTTTTTTTTAAGAAGATAGATCAAATATCAAGTGCGTCACTTTTTTTGGAACTGAGTGTATATTGAAATAATACGCATATTTTTATTTTATTGAAACGAGGAGAGAAAATCCCAAAAAATCAAGTAAAATGAATAATTTTTTCAATTCACCGCCAGATCAGAGTGATCACGTCAATCACGTGACACGTGTCAAAATTCGGCGTGGTGCTGTGCGCGCGTTGCCGGGAACATGCAGTGCAGTGCGGGTGCGCGTGCGCCGGTCCAATACCTGTTGCCGCCCGTCGCGGCCTCCTAGATCGGATTGGAGAAGTAGCCTGCGCGGTGGTGTGAGCGGTAGCTGCGCGAGAACTCCCTGCGCCCTATCTGCTGGTCGGGGAAGGGCAGCGCCAGAAGGGTGTACCATCGGGAGGGCATCGCCGACGCCGAGGGCAGACGGTGCGACGACCGGGAAGACGCACCCGCACTGCGACCGCAAATCCACAAGATACAGGTGTTTGAGAGTGTATCCATTTTTTGTTATTTATTTTACATTTGGCATCAGCGCCTTGTATCAGGGCCTACTCTATGATAGAGTAGGCCCTGCTTGTATGCACTGCTGCAGGGCCTACTCTATCTCACCGGGCCGTAGTCTACTTGTAGTCTATCTCCTCTACCTCGATGCTGACGTCACACTAGTAGGTTGAGATTTCACATGATTTCATATCGGTGCGTTTTCAATAGAAAGGTTATAGCTCATTTACTTTAAAAATTAGAAGCACACTCAACCTAGACGAATTGATCCCTGATAAACTACCCAACTTTCGGGAAAAAAAAATCATTAGAATGAACCAGTATCGATTTATGATGCATGTTGTAAAGAAATTGAAGTTTAATAAGAATCTGGACGTTGTCAATTTGGAATCGGTTTAAAGTGAAACCGACTGAGTATGTCAAACTAGGATAATGCATCAATTGAATAGTGAGAAAACTATTGAGCTACCTACAATGAGTCCGGAATAAATTAGAAATAAAGAGCGCTTAAAAATTTGTCTAGTAGACTACCTAATTTTCCCGTATTAACGATTTCGCGGTAATTCCCTATAGGTAAAGGGCAATGCACGATTTATTACACATATTTCCAGTTGTGGGTGTTTTCATATTTTGAAAACTATATTGAATACTGTGTTGAATAATTAGGTATTACATAATTATGAAATATAGCGGGATTCAGTCAAATAATAAAAAAAGAAGAATCATCAGACTTTCCGGATGAATATGAAACTTTGAGTCCATTTTTTAGTTTGTGATATATATATTTTGGTACAAGCACATGTCATTTTGTGATATGTGGCTATTTTTCTCTTTTATTATGTTGAATATTTTCATGATGGCTTTCGTTTAGTATTGTGCGTATGAGAACTACTAATTTTTCGTTGTTTTTGATTTTCATATTTTGAAAATGTTTGCAAATCAATTTATCTTCATCAATATGAGATTATTTTTAAAATATATACTCCATAGTTGAAAATAATTGATTCGCTGTCAGGGTTTCTGCGTAATAACTTCTACTCGGCTAACGTCATCAAAGTGTGTCCAGATTATCTTCAGATATAAACGCTGCTAAACTCCTCTGAGATACTGTAAAAGTGTATCATATCGTTATGGAGGCAATGAAATTTACCACAGAATACTCGGTGACAGCATATATCCGCAACCATATGTGTACTATTTCTATATATGGCCCATCGCCTATGCGATATCTCAACAAAAATGGGACCAAAATGAGAGGTACTTTTTGAATCTATAAGGACGGAAAGTGAAGGATTGAAACAGCCATATTGGTTTGACAAGTTTCGAAGTATATTTTCCCTACGTCGGTATTAAAGCCGATGTCGTTACCTATAGAGACAGAAGTTGGTCCCGCTTTGAGGACAGCTATGCTTCATATATGAGTAGTAGATATATGTCCGCAACTAATAGGTTTTGCATGGGGGCCGTCTAAACTTTTTGAACTAGTCTGTAATAATCATCTGACTCGTCATTTTACTTTAATTGAAATATCCGTTCGTTATTGGCTCTTGGCTACTGGTGTGACGTCACGAAAGCGATGCTCCGGTCCGGTGAGATAGAGTAGGCCCTGATTGCTGTGCCACCCTGCCACCCGCGACAAGTACTGACGAACAATTATCTGTATCTGTATAGTTTATCTTCTGTAGTCTATGTCTGTACTCAAATAACAGGGTCTTTTAACGAAAACTTGAGAACCTCCTTTGGAAATTGATTTTTTGTCGCCTATACAGTTCTTGGGTCAAAGGAGTTTCTCTGATGCTAAACTCACCAACACTTTGGCCCCATTAGAACACGGTAAAAAAGTCAGCGACCTTTCACTTGTCTATACATACTTCCAGACGAAATGTTTGTCAGAAATCTGTGCTATAAATCAATCACTAGCAATAGGTACCAGTTAGACAAACTCCACAGGCCTAGTCAGCACATCCCTTCGTCGTTAACCTTGAAAACAAAACTCGTTCGTCTATATAGAACGGCGGAGCTTTGGAATTTTTTAGGTATGCCCAATGTTCCACGAACATTATAGGAATTTCCTTCCGAGCGCTCCAAGAAATAAAAAAACCCTATGTCAGACAATGAATCATTTTAGCACCAACATTGTTCCTACTCCATATCAATGACCAGTTGAGAGTTAGCACTTTCTCTATACACAGTTTTGCGGATGATAGTACTCGTCATACTACGTTTCCATTCAAAGTCTTACCTTATCACAGAGGAAACTAGGAACTTACGACCAAGGCAGATCGATGCCGTTGATTCAATAAAGATTTTGCTGGAAAACTAATAACCTCTGAAAATTCCGAATTCAGACTGTCTGATACTGACATTACCATCACCAACACTCTCAAAAAGGAGAACCATGTTAGAAGAATCGCGAAAGCTGTTTCATAAATCACAGAATACTGCCTTCCCACTTATGGGGTTCAGCACCCAATTGTACAGTGATTCTCTCAGAGTCCATTGAGAGACGATTATTCACAAGTTTCCTGACATATTTGGAACACCTCTTGGAAGTCCGTTACTTTCCATACTCCTCTACAGTTATTCAATAAACAATGTTCTTCAGAAATATCGGCTATAATTCCATCTCTAGCTATGCCAGTCAGACAAACTCGACAATAGTAGTCCTTTTGTCGTCATACGTAACTAGTTTATCCACAGAATGGCGATGGCTTTGGAATTATTGGCCTATGGAAGTATTCCAAAGAACTCACAAATTTGTGCAAAACGAAATATTGAAGCCGTTCGTATAGTGATTATTATCATTTTGAATGTATACACTAATTTGAAAATGAGTAGTCTCCAACCAGTTCTGACTGAATTTTCGGCATTGAATTGGTGAAGGGTTCACATCGAACCGCCACCAACCCCTTTGGACCCTTTGCTGTGGGGCTTTTTGTATTCGCAATTGAAAGAACTCAACATGATAAGTTGGGAATAGAGTAGTCTCATTTGAAATTTTAATGATGGAGGTGCTATAAAGGGGTTAGAGATATAAACATATTGAGTTAGCTTCACTGTCAGAAAGGTTTTTCCTCTAAACAAAAATTTTAGGGTCTGAGTAAATTCTAGAAAAATCCGAGTCAAGGGGAGTCAAGATTTCATTGAAAGAGCCCTACTATACTATACACTATACGTCACTATGCCGTATTTTTTCAAACAAAACACATATGTCCATATGTGGCGTTTTTTGATGAGAACACGTTATCAAACTATGATGCACACTAGCCACAGCCTTCTCAATTAAATCTCCAATTGGTGATGAAGACACTTGGCAAAACTGTCAACCAGTCCTACACGTTTATTGTTAACCATGAGAATATGGTGAATTTGTTCAGTTTTCAATAGTGAATTGACGTATTATCGAATGTGGAATATAGTTGAAACTTGAAAGCCAGTGAACAAACAGTGTAAGGAAAAAATTATTGAAAAAGTTGAGGACAACTGACTGAGTATTCTTCTTCCATTACTGAAATAAATTGATTACTCATTTCTGAGGGCAGATCAATAATCAATAAAGTCTAGAGTTCCTCTTCTCTTCCACTACTTTCTCTAGGAGCCAGAATGATTCACAAAAAATGGGAAATATAATATGTATATAAATAAATGGGCGTGCAATAGGTTGGGTGGTAGCCAAAGTAAATCCACGTTCGCAGTCAAGATAGAAAAAAATCCTTGCTCTCGTTATATTATCATACAGAAAATATATAGTACCAAAAAGCAAAAAAACTTACCTCCGCACTAATATCACTATCGTAGTGACCACTGCAGCTAAAAATATGAAGCCTCCAAAGGCCCCCAGAGCAATGATAGCCCCCAGATTCAATTTAGCACCAAAAGTATCCTTCCTCTCCCCGTCTACGGGCAAGGGCACATTCACGTTCGGTGCCTCCCCATGCTGTATACTCGAACTACCAGCAATCTCGTTGTCCTGAGGGTGTCCAGCAACTATAATCGATGCTAGCGAGGACGACGATTGCGAAGTGGGAGTAGTGAGGGGCGTGGTCGTCCTTGACAAAGGTCGACGCGTCCTATTGGCCACCTTGACGACGTCCACGCCTCTGATGGTAGTTGGAGGGGGTCGGGTTCCTCTGGTTCGTTGACGGGTGGTGAGAGTGGTGGTAATTGTCGGTGGAAGTGGTCGTCTGCTGGTTTTGGTCGGTTCAGGGCTGTATACGGTCGTAGCAATACCACCTGGGAATTAAATCAGGAGGGTAGTTGAAGATAGTCGAGCTGGGATTACACTTTGCTTACCTTCACAAGTAGGTGGCAAACTGTCGTACTGTCCATTTGCGAGGCAAGTTATTGTATTTGGACCAATAAGCTTGTAGCCCATATTGCAACTGAATTCGATGACGGATCCATAGAAAGTGTCGTTTGGCATACGGATTATACCATTTGCGATTTCATTTGGAACCTCGCATTGAATAGCTGAAATAATTGCATAATAATGATTGTGTTACAATTTTCTAATGGAAATGATGTGGATACTCACGTTCACATCTTGGTGGTGGTCCATTCCATCTTTCGTCAATATCACATGCTAACTGAGCTCTTCCTATCATCTCATATCCTTCATCGCAGGTGTAGATGACTCTGGATAAATATCCAATGCTGTCGTTTACCAAGCTATATTCTCCATTGGCGATGTCTGCTGGATATCCGCATTGAATTCCTAGAACACATCAATTTGTTCATCATCTATATATGTCATTTATTAACGGTTGTTCTACTTCTTTCGAATTTTAATTGATAGTTTTCATTGTTATAGGGCAATATCAAATTTCATTGAAATCACCAATAAACTGACGAATCATGTTCATATTCAAATCTCTCCAAGATATGTGAGGAAAATATCGCCTGGAGAGTGCTAAAATATTATATGAGACATTTTATGCGCAATTCAATAATTCTATTTCATTGTCGACGTGGTTATTTTATTGGGTTTCCCCCTTTGTCCTAGATAGACATCAGACGCCATTCTGTGTTCATTGAAATTACATATAAACCTATAATGGTATTTTTTCAAAGTGCATCAATTTAAAAGTGGATAAAAATAAATATACCTAACGGAAGTTCGATGATCTGGACCTGACCTATACGGGTATCAATGATTATGAAATGAGGTTTATTGAATAAGAATTATAAGTTACAGAATCTTCTGCATTCGATTACAGAGGTGATTCTTACTTTTGCATACGGGTGGAAATTCGTTATAAAATCCTGTTTCCAAACAAACTCGTTGAGTTGGTCCCACCAAGAGATGACCTTCATCACAACTGTAATCGATAGTGGATCCAACGTTGTAATTTGGTGCAACCATCGTAGAATTTGGCGGCTGTTCTGGACGACCACAGGCTTTCGGTTCTGAAAAATAAAGTATAAATGTTCATCATATCAAGAGACAAATATATTCGAAGTCGCATCTTTGAATAAACAGGATTTCACACCTGGTTTGGGGAATGAACTTGTTTAGATATGAATAAATAAGTGAATGAGAATTTCCTGGACTTATCCAGCTGGAATCAAGGGTTCTTGAGTGAAGTTGATGTGCTAGAAAACGATTGCTGGTCATTGTAGACGATGCTGTTACTTACGGTGTTGACAAATGTAGTTGAGATGCATCATACAATCGGTGTCAGACCAGAGCCAGCCTTTGGTGCCATCGTATCTAGAACATTCGCCATTTCCTACTGGCAAATTCCAGAAAGAGACTGTGACATCTTCCCCAGTCAGCCATTTCCATCCTCTGGTTTCGTGATCTCTGATAGCTCCCATCCAATACTGACCACTCGCGTCGCTCCTGTGACGACGCCACAGTTCCCAACTGATGAATCCTGGTAAAATAGGTAAAATAAAAACAAATACACATCGGCTCATATTTTTCTCTTAATTATCCTCTCAGCTTATCATTATTCTGTCAATTCTATCTACCATAAATCTCAAAGACTGATAAGAATATTATTGTATATATTTGAACTGAATATATTTCAATCCTCAGTAGCTTAGTGAGCTTGTCAATCATGATATTTCGTGTTCGAAATCGAATATATCCGATCGTATGCTTCGTGGTCTCCTGTTAGACCGATAGTAAGGTTATGTTTGTGGTCCAGAAAGGCTACAACTACTTTATAACGATACTCAAATATCTTTAGTCGAATAGATTGTATAGTTTATCTTACCTTGCAGAGCAGGATTGCTTTCATCCACCAGAGTACCACCTCTTGATCTGCAGAAAGATAGGGCTTCTCTGAATTTGATCGGTTGACGATTATAGAATATGTAGCATTTTCCATTGTATGTTGCTGTGCTACCTGTAATGATGAAGTTGAAATGAGCATTCTATCAAAACTTGGCTCATCAAGATTTGTTCACAAAATAATGGATACCAGTGCCAGTATCTATATTTTATCAAGTTCCATGAAAAGTGAGATAAACACATTTCTACCTCGATTGATATATATTCTTTCTACATATTGTATAATGGACAAATAGCGAAAGAGTTCAATTGAACCTCTGATCTCACCTATTGATACATACTACTAGCAAAAATAGTTGAAAAACGAACTTGATTGCAGTCTCTATAAGAATCATTATTTTCCTACACTAATTCTTTGAATTTACGAATGATGCATTCTCGTACAGGGGTGCACATGCAAAAACTCGACATATTTAAGAAATGGAACGAAGGTATATTTCTTGTGAATACCTAGCCATAACATTAATGGGCAATAACATCGAATATTTCAATTAACTCAAACTCACTTGGGTAAAATCATAAGTATATAAAAAATTGGTAATGAGGTCAAATGATAGATCACGATCTTTTGTGTGCTCCGTTCATTATTTATGTATGTACAGGCTGATTCACCGTGAAATCCCCCATAACTTTCTTCTCCATAAATATATCTGAAAATTTACTGTCAGTTGGTCGGACTATTTTTGAAATATCCTGAGAGTATAATGATGAAAACTTGAACAAAAAAGATGCATTTCTTGCAATGTTACAAAATGCATACCCAGTATACAGTGTTGTCATTTAAGTGTGCAACATATGGGAATCTTTTTAATGGATTGCACAACCAAAATACAGGCATTCTCTGTAATGATGGAAGGAAGGTCCATTTAGGCCGAGTCAGTTTAGGATGTTTAGAAGCAGTAGTCTCTTCTGTTCTCTCAAGTAATTTCCTGAAAAATATACTTTCTAGGAAGAAGGTTCATTTATGCGGAAAAAAAGGATCCCTTCTTATGCATAGACAGAAAGGATATTTTCCTTCTTCAACCCTCCAACAAAGAGAGTAACAGCTGAAATGGAAGTTACGCTGTTACGCTGTTACGCTTGATCTGTATATTAGTTGCGTTTCATTTAGACGATTCCGCCATTGAACTCAGTTTGTGTCGTTTTATTTGCAACTTTTCCGGTTCCGGTTGCTACTCTTCATTGCGTCTCACTACAAGGAATGATGTGGAATAACTGTTGACAGGTGACAAAAAATCAAATTAAATTGACAAAAAACGAAACTTTTTGAGAGTAAAAGCCAATCAGAAGACATTTTCTTCGTGAGTTTCACTTGTTCTTTAAAGTAAGACAGGTTTCATATGTTCATTCCCAGATGAAATAAATTCTCTCGATCTCAGTTTCTTCAATCACCACAATCACTGCTCCAACTATTAGTTGATTCATTTCCTAGATTCTAAACTTTAGTATTATGATTTTGAAATTATTTGGATCCGCCATACACAAATATAATCACTTATATATGTAAATTCTCTCATTCAGTTTCTCTCAAGTTTCTCGTTTTATTTGTAAACGTCATTCTGTTCACACTACCGCTATCAGAATGGAACAAATTAAACGTTACTATTGTGTAACTACAATTGGAAGTTTTGATTAAAAATACGTTCAGAATATGAAGAAGCGTATGACATCATTGGATATCAAAGAAGATATATTATTGTTACTTGTTTCCTGATAGTGATTACTTGGAACGCACATATTTTATAGGTATATGGACGCCAAAGGATGCAAGCTGAAGCCAATTTATTTGTGGGAGTAAATTGACAACTCAAACGAGGGAGCAAACGCCTACTTTCGATTCAATGAGTAGATTAAATAAATTCTGAGTCCGCCTCTGTATTGGGGAGTTAGTTCCTTTCAAGTTACCATCATGATATGTATGATTAATAATGCCAGAAGACAATGATAAGTGTCCCCTATAATTAGATCATATTCTCATGATGAGGAACGAGATTAAAAGAAGAATTCATGGTGAGACTGCATTAGTGAAAGTTGGTGTAAAAAATATCGGAACAGTGATATCGGCAATACGTTCCGCAACACACAAATCATTGTAGATGACATTTTTTCAGAGGTACAATAACATTCGACTTAATGAGGACAAAAAGTGAGATATACCTTCTAGCTTCTATAGAGTCGGATTTTTTTTTAGCTGTCGCTTAAGCGAACCGCTTCGCAAAATAGAGTGTCATGGGAAGATGAAGATAGGTACTTTCTTTTCACTTTTCACGGTGTGGGAAAAATTGTTTGTTTGTATGATCGTAGTTATAATTGTATCACTGAAATTACCTTGAAAATTTCACATCAAACATTTCCGATCAATTTAAAGCCTGTATTTCGTATCGGTGCCATCAGAGCAACTAAACAAATTTCTTGGAAATTTTTTCCTCCTCCTTGGGGGATGAAGCATGAAATTACACTGGAAATTTCTTGACGTTTATAGCTAAATTGACATTTACATTCAACTTCAGATTATTTCGAGTTCATTCAATAAGTCAATTGATGAAAATCAGTTATCAACAGTTTACCATATAATATTATGTAGGTATACTTGCAAATTCGAAATTTACAAAAACACAATCATGTTGTTACTAGGGTGTTCATTTCAGGACTTCCCACCCTAATTTTCTCGAAATGTGTGTATGTTTTTGAAAAATCCCGAGACACGTCAACTACATTTTCGAGGGGGACATAGTTCTAAAATATGTTCAGCCCCGCGGCGTTGCCGCTTCTAACGAAAAGAAGCAACAACTTTGTTATTTCAAATGGAACATCCTGTATTTTATTGCATTTTTAGATTCTCCCTGAAAAGCTGATTTCATCAATGTATCACACTTGGGGTCTAGCAGGAATGATTACAGAGATATAGGGTGTTCAAAATCGAGATTTTACAACTTTAGGATTTTTTTGAGTCGAAACTATTCATTATTGGTCAAAACGGCTTTTATGTCCCTATCTCAACTTTTGATTTACTATCTACTGACATTTATTTGAAACAAATACAGGGTGGTTCAAGATTCAGACTTTTGAAAATTAGGGTGGGAAGTCCTGAAATGAACACCCTGTATGTTAGATCTTACATTTCATCACAAACAACCATCATTTTCATATAAACACGATGATATTATACCTTCAGTTTTGACATGAAGAATGGCATACGTAAATAAAAAAAATATATTATTCTTCTGAGTTAACATACCAAGCCGACTATTCAAATGTCCAAACCATCAAGAATCGTTATTATATCCAAGTTATTTCTTAATAATATTTCAGTGTGAAATTTCCTTACCGAATATCAATTTTGCTTCAATTAATATCCGGGAATTGTTACTCGAACACGAATATTTGAAAAATTTTCAAAATATTCGTGATCTCGAAAAAATTCCCGGAAATAATTGAAGCTCTCGTGAGCTTACCAATTAGTCAGCTACTTTTCCATATTACGTTGCTTAAAGAAACTATAGTGACTATCGCGATAATTTTGTTAGATTCTATCAATAATCATCCTGTCAAAAATGAAGCGCCTTATATCTATCTATTGGGAAAAGTCACTCAGTTTCATTTGAAACATATACATGTAATATCAGATGTTATGATCGAAAACGAATTGATGTTTATAATGTTCCTGAAATATTAGTGATAAACCTTAGTTACCAATAAGTAGAATCAACTTCTTTTTTCAAAACTATAGTGCTTCATATTTAACTAAACTCATCGGAAATATGTTTCTTGAAACTATATGTAGACATGTAATATATCAGATGTTATGGTTGAGAACGAAATAATGTTTACAATGTTCCTGAAATTTCAGCAATAAATATTAGTTACTAACAAGTTGAATCAACTTCTATTGTAAAAATATGAGATTTTTTGTCTGGTTTCAGACTAGCCAAAAATTCCGAATTATGTAGGCATTCGTAGGAAGTACGATGGAAGACAAGACAACTCGGTGAGGTTGCCAAACTAAGGGCAACAAAAAAGAAATAGTTGAGATAAATGTAAGGAAATTAAAATAATAACTACCATACGAGCACTACAAAAAAATTAAAATTAGATTGAAATAAATAGAATGACTCAAAAATGTGTTTTCTTTTAGCTGAAAAGTACTTGCCAGGCCATTTGACAATTTTAAACTAAGACCGTTTTCAAAAAACAAGAAAAATATATATTCAACTCTTTGAGGTTGATGATGAGGCACCTGAAGGGGATGCTCAAAACAACTGAAATCCTTATCTGGCCATTTAGAAAATTATCAAACCAAGGCTATTGAAAAAACAAAAATAAATTGTTTAGGGGTAGGTGGGGCGCCTGAAAAATATGTTGATTTTTTTTATTTTTGTGAAATTGTCTCCTCAACATTAGACAACTTTTGCCGACCAGGCAGATGGAAAAATATATGATTTCATTATATTTTCGATCCTGTTTAATGGCCATGGCTACTAGATTTTAATTAGAATTGAGAAGAAGTCCTTTCATAGTGACAATAGGTCCATCTTTAAGTTTCACAGAACTATATTACTAGTGGTGAAACAAATTTATATACACGTTCTTGGTAGTCATAGTTATTCAACCAACTAGCGTATTAAGGAGGGCGTTAATGTTCGAGATCATTAATCGCCTTTTAATATACAAGTTCGTTACAAAATTTTTCCGTCGACTATATTTCTCATTTCCCCTGCAATGAAGAAAACTTGGTTCGCGAATTCATCATTCATCGGAAAACTGCTAAGAATCACTCAGTAGCCTTGTTACTGACATAAGTGACATTTGACATTTGTCGAAATGATCAACATAGAAAATAAAATCCTTGTGTTAGAAAACAGGGATTAAAATCGTGTCAGAAACTTGGAAAGGCGAACCCGTTAACGAAAAATCCTCGATGAAATCCATATTTTCGATTTAAATGCAGATTCCGTAAGTTATAGCATAAACAATGAATGCACGTGGTGTATGTTTGGTTGTCTATAAAACAATCGTGCATTAATAGACAAATCGTTCATTAATAGGGGTCATTAATGAACGATTCCATTTACATTAAACTTAGTCGTTAATACGAGGTCGACGAAAAATAATATTATTACCACGAGACCTTATACGCAGCGGCTGAAGCCTCTGGATCTAATCTTGGTTTGGTCCCGGGCTTCAATGATATTCTTTACTACCTTGGTGTATATGTTTGAGAACGTAGTCATTGAATTTTTTATCAATCAGCTTGACTTGTTCCCGAATGATCTACCCCTAGAAATGTATGTTCCTTCCTCACAAAATATTAACAAAGTAGTACGAAGTAGTTTAGACTAGGACAAACTAGTTCATCCTATCGCTCTTCGGATATACTGATTAAGCCTAGGAAAAACTAGTTTATCCTACAATCGGGTTTGTCCGGTAACATATACATAGCTATTTTTCACCTGGTGGCTGGTCCCTGAACTGCGGACACCTCTCTATGGGCAAAGCTTGATCGGTGTAGACGAAAGCCTCGCAAATGGAAAGTTGGCTGGGCGTCGGGGACTCAAGATGGACGCTCACGAACGCCCCCGGCATGGGGGGGTTGCAAGGGAGGAACAGGGGCTGCCCCTCCTCCAGGAACCCGGTGAACCTGTTGCAGATGGGGTTGGTGCCCAGGTCCGGCCTGTTGTTTCCCACCCGGACAATGATTGTGGCTGGTTTTTTAGCCCCTGGGACAGAAAAAAATGTTTCATAAATAAATAATGAGATAATGAGAGAATTATCTTCTGTAGTAGTCCATACTCAAAGTGGAGTGGAATGATCAAGAAAGAAAATTCTGAAACTCTTATTCTTGCAGTCCGGATGTTCAGAATTATATTTTGCAAAATCTGATGAGATTCCCATGGTAGGTTTTGGTTTCACTATGTCACTATGTCTTTATCATCTACGCTGGGAGAACTTTCAGATGGTAATGCCTGTTTTTACTCATAGACTGACACATGCAATCATATTTTGTAATATTAGTATCTTAATATCTAAGCTCTTGAAGAACTCTCCACATCTATCATTATAGAATCAACATTTGTGAGGCTATACTACACTAGAGTGATCTTTGAGAAGCTGCTTTCTATACTTCAGCAGATTTTTAGATTAATTTCTGAAACAGTTAGTGAGGATTTTTATAATGAGATGAGCTCCAGCAATTAACTTTTTCAATAATAGAACCGTATACAAACTTCATATCATCATCTGCATTCTTTAGAGGCGTCGTGTATCTCATCAATCATCAATCCGTCTATATGATATTTATGTACATACATACCGCCTACAGAACCTGTTGTAGTCCTCGACAAAAAAATTCAATCGTGGTCATCGTTTTCCAGTTTCTCTGGGTCAACGGAATACAAAATGAAGGTTGGAGTTGGCTATCCGAAGAGGTCTGACCGTGACCTTGCTAACCTTTACAGTTCGTAATGAAGGCCTTAACCTACAAATGCCGAAAGTTGGGCATTGTAATAATAGGCGCATCTTAATTAGCCGGCATCTTGGTTTGATGATTTTTCATTCTTGTTGTTAGTAATTAGATTTTTTTCTCATATCATGTACCTAATGTACAGCATTCTCAAAAGTATATTCGGCGAAACACATTTCATATTTTATTCCACCTGAAAACACGTTAGGGGTTCACTTCAATGTAGTGTAACTGATGAGGGTTGGCTACCCGAAACAGTTTGTATTGCATAATATTTTAGGTGGCTCATACTAACCACAACAAGGTTTTCCGAAATCCAGTCGTACCAGCTGTACCATGTAAGGTTCTAGCAGGTTGACATACCACCAGGGGGTTCTCTCGGGCTTTGTTAGGGTGCAGGTTTCGCCATTGAAGAAGGCGCTGGTACTGCCATCAATTGCTTTCTGGGGTATCCCTCCAGAATCAGTGCTGACCTGCATTGGGGCTTTACCAGCTGCTACGTTAAGGACTGAAACAAGAATTTGCATTACTAATTATTCAGAGGTTTACTGTAAACTAATTAAATATAAAAACTTCACAAACGATAGGTTTGTTGTTTCGCTAACATAGATGATGAAGCGTCAGTTGAAATACTGATACAATGAACCTACCTAACTTTTATCTACTTTACCAACCTGAAGGATTAGAATTACCTGTGGACCGGTTCGATAAACCTTAATTTTCGGGAAAGAGGCACAATATCTACATTAAAATACGGTGTACCGGATTAACTTGAAAGGGTTCATAGCAAATACATATTATTACCTACTAAGAAAACGAATTCAACAGTGGTGAACTATTATTGAGGTCTAGTTGATCGTTTAGTGAAGAATTTTTGAGTTTGTTTATTTTTAATGAATCAAAATGATGAGTTTTAATCCTTCATTTTATACGTGTAGAATTTCGGAATTATCATCAGAACTATTATTTTCTTCTACTATATGGTTGGCGTATGTTCTATTTCAAAAAACTAATGTTATGTTCATGAATGCGCTGATTAAACGTACGACCTGTCTGACCGATATATACCTTAGATCAGATCAGATAGTTTAGTTCACTGTACCAATATTCCACCTGATGAAGCTACTGTGTTAGCAGAACATGTCGTGTGATTGAGAATTGGAAATCTTATCGTTTGTGAAGTTTTTATACATTTGCCGGCCGAGTCAATTCAAAATTTCAAAAAATGTGAAACATATTAGCTTCACCTGTATGTAAGTATGTATTTATATATCTACAGGGTCTCAATAAATGATCGTAGCATCGTAGTGACCGTTGAAATATTTTATTGCTTTGCCGCTTTTCACTTATGAACTTCCTTTGGGCTCGATTTTGAACCACTTTAAACGGACCGATTGATTTGAAATTTGGTAGGTGTATGTACATAATTCTGGTGGCAACGCATCAAAAAAATTTTTGTTAGACAAAAAAAATAGCGGACGAGTTTTGTAATTATGATCGGATAATATTGGTATCTTGGTGTTTTCGAGGTCGGAGATTAGAAATCTTTCGTCAAAATTTGGAAAATCAAGACGAGTTTTATATAATTATGATGCGATTAAAATGGGTATCTAAGGGTTTTCGTGGTCGGAGATTATGATACTCTCGTCAAATTTGGGAAATTCGAGATGGCGGATACAATATGGCAGACAAGTTCCGTGTTTATGATATGATTCTTTCTTTATCTACTTGATATCTTCAAAATTAAACTGTAGCTCCGCTTCTGATCGAGATCCGACTCATGTTTATATAAACTTTTTTGATAGAAATGAGTATGTCTATCACCCATTTCAGTTTGTGCCTTCAAATCTGAATTACCCTGTTTAAATGATCTCAAAATTGCAATAAATAGGCGCGTATATGCCTAGGGTGGAGAAAACGGTTGGTGACAGGCCCATTGCTTCATAATAATTATATCGTGTTCCTAAGTGGCAATGAAAGGAACCAATTTAAAACCCATTATTGCCCGAATTATGTTCATCTCGAATTTTAACAAATTTCAATGAAATTTTGGGTAGAAATGATGTTTTCGAAGACATGATACTTCCACTTTTTTTTTTCTTTTTTTTCGCATGTTTTTTTGTGTTCCAATAATGGAACCTTGGGCACGATTATCTCCAGGTAAATAATCGGGAAGTAAATGAAATATTGATCAAGAACATATTTTATATAAAAAATATATGATTGTATTGAACGTTAATACATTGAATGATCAGTCAGAAATTAAATTGATCAATACTTTGTGTGAAAATATTCGAAACAGAATTCATGACAGTCAACTCTACACTTTCTACAGCATTTCGTGGTATTTTTCTTGCAAACTGCATATCAATTCTGCTTTTCTGCTGCAACAATATAATGTTCCGTTCGATCATATCTCACTCGATTTGGCACACGAGAGGAAATAGCTTTATGTGTAACTGGACGACCTCCACCAATACCAAGTTTTTCATATTTCTGTAGGTAAGTCTGAAAGATTTTACGTCGGAACTTCAGTTGATCCATTTTCTCGCCGTTAACTTCTCTGTATAATTGCCAAGCATAAAAGAAGTATAGCTATGAAGCAGCGTATTTCTTCGATTTCAACATGGAAACTTGGTTCTTTTTTCTTCCCATATAAGTCATGTCCGTTAGGAAGTTGAAAACTGCTTCATCGAAAAAAAGTTCGAAACATCCCACAGGGTCTTCTGGAATCCGAGACATTTCCCTAGGGCTAACAAATGGGGGGAAGTTACAGGTTAGGTCTACTGAGTTCTGCCAATTTCTAGTGTACGTTTTTTGGCAATCTTTTCTGCAGTTCTGATATAGTAATTTTCCTAACAAGTGCGGAAAGTGATTCTTTCCCGCACGTGACTGCCGTTGACACGAACGACGCGAAGCGGAGTTCGGGCAAGCAGTCGAGTGCGGGAAAGAAACTTTCCGCATGAGTTAGGAACAATATTTTTTCTACAAGCGTAGGAAATTTATTGAATCGTTCAATTAATTATTCAAGCAAATAGGAACAACTAACAAGAGATATATATATATTCTCTATCTATTAATTATTAGTAATAGCTATTGTGAACTAACAGTTTGACGCATTATGTTGGTTCATTGCGGAAGCCAGCAGGCCCATTAGGAGTTTGGTCTCTAGGTTCCAGACACTTCTATGAAAATATGAGCCAAAAATACCTATTCTTCATTCGGTTTTTTCATTTTTTTATTGTTGCACCATTCAATAAAACGCTTCTCATACCTTTCTTAAGACTTCGTTGGTGATAACGCATCTGTATCAAATCCCTATAGTTAGAAGTTTTTGATCACATTGTGGCATTTCCACTGAATCGAAAATGACAGTAACGCTGTGTCTGTCACTTCGACAATTTCAAACTTATTTGAGGTTTGATTGGCATGAGAAATTGACGTTTTCTGTCAGATCAATCCAAATCTATAGGGGGATTTTTATAATAATCAATTTTCATTTCTCAATATTTCTTAATTTTAACAATAAATAGTGCAATTTGATGGATGATTCTGAACATACATACTTAATACTGCAACAAACAACTTTAAACTTTTATATTCCATCATCAACCACTTACATTACTAGTGATTTCATCATATCTTTGTTTTCCCGCACTAGTGCGGGAAAAAATTTCCCGCACTAGTGTGGGAAAATTTTCCCGCATTGTTGCGGGAAAATGACATTTCCCAAATTAAATTGCGTGCGGGTATAGGGTGAAACACGCACGCTTGTAGAAAAATGAAATATTATCTTCGCTGTCGTTATCACTTTCCTTAGAACCATTTATATTCTCTACAACCTCATTATCATCGAATTCTAATTCTTGTTCATCATCTTCACCAATAGTGAACGTTTCTCCTTTATTTGTAATCTTTGCTACGGCTTGTGCTTGTAGTTGACGAACACTCAGCTTGTTTATGTCATTGCATATTTCTTCATCACCACTGTCTTCGGCACTCTCAGCACCATCATCTGGAGGTGTTATAAAAATATCTCCTTCCCAAAATTCCTCATCCTCCACAAGTTGAATGAGCTCTTCTGTTGTATAAAGTCTAAAAAAAGAAGACAATAATCATGGACCCATCCTTGCCCAAAGTTCCAATATTGGAACACTTCATAAAACACCATGTAATTGACATTATACTGAATATATCTATGTCCATCGCAGTGAGATTTGTTCACAATATAACAAATGGTGAATCAATACCACTGGACACAACATGAAACCAATATGAGAACAATAGTTCACTTACTTGTTGTACGCCATTCAGGTGCTGCTCACTTTAACGGAACACAAGCGAAATACACCGCACAGGGTTCTCGTATGTACTACAAATGGTGATTTTTCCAAATTATTCCTTGCTGTAGTGTCTAACATAAACATCAGAACGATGGAACAGAAATCTGGATGACGTGAAACCAGTGGAGGGAGTAAAAATCGCATGTTCCATAATCGGAACAATGGGATATAATGGGTTTTAATAGGTCCTGGTCTGATGATAAATACTGTAAGAAACACTTTATTGGCTCTCGGACTATTCAGCGGTTGTGCTCACGGTACCTGACTGAAAATCGCCTGAAATTTTCATTTCATTGCCTGTAAATTGCCTTTCCAGTTGCAGGTTCTCGTTTCTTCGCATTCATTGCACATGTTTCTATACAGTTACGCCGATTTGAGCTCACCGATGCTACAAATGAGATGCACGAACGGCCTCTAGGAGGATATCGATAGTCCGGGCAGTTTCGTCAAAGTTGAAAATGAAAATTCTGCGTTGAAAATATATCGGAGAAATCTCGACCATCAATAAAAAAAATATATATTTCAATAAACAAATTGAATATCGACTAACCATAATGATAATTATAATATCCAACGATGACAGGATACGTCATTCTGGTCATTCCTAATGCAAAGCAGAATAAATGAAAATAGTAGTGGAAATAATCATCAGCGGTATCATAAAGAAAATTAATAGTAGTTCAAAATACTAAAGGAACACGCTTCTATAGATAGCCAAACTAAAAGGAAGAAGATAATAAAATAATGAAAGTTTGTTGATAAATACACAACATAGAAAATATCAGCATCTCAGTATGTATGTTGTGTATTCAACAACACACTTTCGTTATTTCATTTTCTTTTCCTTTTTAGTTTCAGTTATGTATAAAAGCATGTTTTTCAATTTTTCTTGCTCTCTTCCAACCATCGTGGGCCAAATTATGAAAATTAATAATATATCTTCATCATATAATATAAATATAATAGAAATACCATAGAACAGGAAGAAATATGAGAGAATAATATGTGAGAAGAATTAGATCATATATAATCACAAAACTCGTCTGCCATCTTTATAATTTCCAATCTTGGGAAAATCACGTGAGATCAATTGCTAAAAGTGCATCCCAAAAACTTGGTTTTCTGTTTCGGGCCAGGAGCTATTTCACTTCCAGTCCGCTGCTTATGATCTATAAGGCACAGATCTGACCTGTCCTGGAATACTGTTCCCATATTTGGAGTGCAGCACCCAAACATATCCTGAAACTGTTGGATTCTGTCCAAAAAAGGACAATTCGTCCCGTGGGTGATGCCTTGCTCACAAACTCACTCACTTCTATGGAACACCGTAGAAAAGTTGGCGATCTGGCTCTATTTTATAGATATTCTCATGGACGATGCTCTTCTGAAATATCAACAATTGTTCCTCCCTTGGCAGTCCCCGTGAGATTAGCCCGTCGAGTTGAGGTTTCGCACCCCTTCGTGGTCACTTTGGAGACCTGCAGAACATCTCATGCCAAAGACTCGTTCATCCAACGGACAGCGAGCCTCTGGAACACATTGCGAAGGGAGGTGTTCCCCGAGGCATATAACCTCCAGAAATTTAAGATGAACACCAATTCCTACCTTATTTCCCTTGGTTCTCACGATGTTCTCTGAACAATACAGGATATCCCTTTTCGTGGGAACCAGAATATAAAAAAAATGTGATCAGGAAATTGTGTTGCCATGTTAACGTGTTGAATTCTTTGAATAAATCACAGATCGTCAATCCGCGTGATTAATCGATCATTTTAGTTATGTGAGTAGAAAAAAACTTTTTTATATGTGGCAGAGTGGGATCTCCCCTATCCTGAAGGTCATTACAACTATGAAATACCCTGTATAGTATAATATAAAGCTACTGTGAGATGTATGGCATTGCGTGGTATTGCATCAACTGCTATATTATATTCGCCAACGTTATGACAGTTTACGCTCTACTAATCTGTCGTTAAATGATTACATGCGGATAATATCGATTCATCAGAAACCACTGAAAAATCCGGAAGAAGGTGAAAGAAAAAGTTACACTGGATAGCTGGCAGAACCACATAGAAATTGATCGATCAAATGTGAAAACACGCACCATTAGTTCTTATAATGTTTGCCATCATAACAAGTGCACTCTATCAGTGGCGTACCTACGGGGGGAGAAGGGAGATATATCCTCCCCATATGCCGATGAGAAGACACCACTTTCCTTTTCTTCATGTATTACAATTTCATATTTATAACTTCATAAGGGCTCCGTGTCGTTGTTCATTGTGTGAGACTAGCTTAAGAGCGAATGCGCTAGATTCGCTTTTTCGTTTTATTTTTCGGTTTGTGTCTCGAATTCCGATGGGATTTTCGGTCTTGAGCTGAGATTTCCCGATATTATTTGTTTGGTTTGTTTATTTCATATTGTAATGGGTGGTACGACATAGTCAATTCGATTCCAAGTATAGGCGGTGCAATATTGTGTTTACCTACCTTTAGTGCAGTTCGAGATTTATGATATCCACCTTGGATGAAACTGAGCGATTTATTTTTTCAAAATAAAAATCAGCGATGATGTTATATTGGACTTCGAAATTGGGACAGCATGTGTAATTACATCACTAGTATCCACTGCGACACCAAAAATGTCCTTTGAAACGCATCAAAACCTATTCAAGGAATATTACCGCCCAAGTGAGGCTTAATGGACTATACCGGGTGGCTACGGAAGTATTGCCTACGGAATATCTCAGTTATTGTATGAAGTAGGTTTGTGACATTTGGAGCGTCGATATAATGACATAAGAGCTAGAATTTGAGCATATTGACATGTCGAAGTTAACTTCCGGTCTGAACGGAAGTAACATCAACTTTCTTATTTCAAATGGAAACCCTTTTTTTTTTTTTCTTCTCGATTTATTCAGCATTCAATTCCCTTTCTAAAGACATATCACAAGTTGGTATCTAACCAGAAACTAGATCAGAAAAAAATTATTATTGAAATTCACCGAGTAGGCCGTGGAAGCAAAATGAAAGCCAAAAATTGAAAAGTTGGCTATGGAAACCATACGTCACTTGATAACAGTTGCTACTACTGTGATATTTTATTTTCATTCGTCGGCGTTATAAAAAGCCGCCAAAAAATATATTGGAGAAATTGGGAAAAAAACAGTACTCTGTAGGTCCATAACTTAAATAGGAACATACAACTTTTTCTTGCCTGTACTATTCAGCATAACTATTGGCATGGTTTCCATAGCCAACTTTTCAATTTTTGGCTTTCATTTTGCTTCCACGGCCTACTCGGTGAATTTCAATGATAATTTTTTCTGATCTAGTTTCTGGTTAGATATCAACTTGTGATATGTCATTAGAAAGGGAATTTGATGCTGAATAAATCGAAAAGAAAAAAAAATAGGGTTTCTATTCAAAATAAGAAAGTTGATGTTACTTCCAGTCAGACCGGAAGTTAACTTCGACATGTCAATGTGCTCAAATTCTAGCTCTTATGTCATTATATCGACGCTCCAAATTTCACAAACCTACTTCATACAATAACTGAGATATTCCGTAGGCAATACTTCCGTAGCCACCCGGTATAGACATGATATGGTCATATCTATTGGAGGAATAATTGATGAAATTGTTCTCAAGCCAAAGAGCGTAGATTCAATTTTGTAATCCTCAAAATTACTGTCTATAGTTACCAATAATCATAAATAAAAATGTGTTTTGTGAAAAAATGTATATCCCCTCCAAGGTACACTTCTGGGTACGCCACTGTACTCCAAGTTGCGGCTTCACCTCTGATGAATGTTTACGATAATTTTTCTTCATTTTTTCCATTCAAATCAACTAGGCATAAAATAACGAATATTCGAATTTATGAATTGGATAATTTGATTCGAAATTAGATTTGTTGAAAAAAATTGCGAACTTTATTATGGTTATCCACTTTCTATGTAAAAACACGGAAAAAACAAACCCGGCACTATATTCATTAGATATTTTGAATTGACTCTGCCGTTACCTGATGAAATTCCATGGCAAATGTAAAAACTTCACAAACCATGTAAACCATCCATATTTCTCAAAGTGGTCCAATTGATTTTTATAAGAAAAAACAATAAAAGTCTCAAAGTCTGTCGACCACGAAAAAATATTTATTGATAGTAGTGTGTAACTAGTTTCGGCTACAGGCCATCATCAGACACAAAATTGATGTATTCAAAGTACTTAAAAGATATAATGAACATGGTTAAGGAGTCAAAAAGAGTGTCAAAGAGATGGTATACTAACCTCAGTGATACATATCAGAAGCAAAAATATTTTTATCATTATCAAAAAGACTAGGTCGAAAAATCAAATTATCAGTCCTGAATGTGAAATAGTTTTAAATCTGGAAAAAGTCCAGTAAAACCAGATCAGCATAATATCAATGAACAGATACATCAGAAATAACAATCGAAAAGTTTCAAAAAATTCTCTCACGTGAGATTCATCAGATTATGCAAAATGCAAATGGAAGCTAAGACAGAATTCTAAGAATCAGAAACATCAAAAATCACATGAAACGTAAAACATGACAAAGAACAAGTGACACAAGTCAATGTCAATAATACATGACATACAAATAAAATTAATATAAATGATGACCAGAATCATGACAATGACAAGTGACACAAAATTATCAAAAACACGACATGTTCCGCTAACAAAGTAGCTTCGTCATGTGATGTACTGATACGATGAACTCTCATTGTACCAGCGTGTCGTGTTTGAGAATTTTGTGAAAATTTTATCGTTTGTGAAGTTTTTTCATAAGAAATTGCCATTAAGTATACCAAATTCTTCAGACCAGACCGGAATTTCTAGTGTAGCTAAATCAAATATGGGAAACGAGGCCAACTGTACACATTGTATATATATTACAGTGTCATCTCTTCAACAACTTATGAATACGCATC